GCCATTGTGCAGCACAGAAAAAAGGCAGTAGAAGAGCAAGCAATAAACAGACAGACAGCGTTGTATACCTTAAAGCTTTTGTGCAAGAACTTTGGTAGAGAAAATCCGGAGCCTTTTGTGCCAGTGCTGAACGCTGCAGTGAGGCTGATTGCTCCCGAAACGAAGGAGGAGAAGAATGTCTTGGGAAGTGCCCTGCTGTGTGTAGCGGAGGTGGCCTCCACGCTGGAAGCACTGGCCATCCCCCAGCTTCCCAGGTATGCTGGCTGGGGCCTGCCACAGGAGCCGTCACACCAGCTTTCTGTACAGATTGACAGATGATACCTTAGTGACTTTTTTTGTCTCTAAGTAAAAGTTACCTAAAATTAGATTTGTTAAAGAATTGATGTTTTCTTCAAACTGAAAAACAAAACATTCTCGTTTACCTTTATGATGTTTATTATCCTCCAGTTTTCACTCCCCTCTGATCAGCTGCTGTTAGGAAGCAATAGGTGCTGCTCCTTTCGAGGGGCCCAGTCCAGTTGGGCAGAAGCTGCCTCGTGCTGCCGACGTTCCGAAGTTGGATGCTGCTGGCTCTCTCCTTGGCTCTGGCGTGTGTTGGCTGTGGGGCCTTGGGCAGGCTACTCGGCCTGTTAGAGCTTTGCCATCTATAAAACCGACACAGCACCTACCTCGTGGGATTCCCGTGGGGCAGTGCGTGTAAGGCTTTTTGCACAGTGCCTGACACTTAGCAGGTGTTAAATTGAAAGATGTTATTTTTTTAAATGACTGTTCTGTCACTACTGTTGGCACTGGGAGATTTCTTGCGCTTAGTCATGTACAATGTGTAGACGATACTTTGTAGGCTGTGACACACGCAGAGATGTAACGAGCACAGGTGTTTGGATTTTTTCACAACTTCTACTCCATTCTCCATTCTCTGCTTCTGCTTAAAGTTACTCTAGAACTCTCATTCTTTGTGTGCAGTCTGATGCCATCATTGCTGACGACAATGAAGAACACCAGCGAGCTGGTCTCGGCTGAGGTCTATTTGCTCAGCGCCTTGGCGGCCCTGCAGAAGGTTGTTGAGACTCTCCCGCACTTCATCAGCCCCTACCTAGAAGGCGTGCTGTCGCAGGTGGGTCACAGTGACCACGACATGTATGTGAGGTGGCAGCAGGAAGGGAAAGATTATAAATTTAGTAATTTTATTTGTTAAGTTTTTAGTTTTTGTTTGGCAGGAAGTTTATTTCTGAAAAGATTTGCTTGTTTTTACTGTATATGTTCGTTTTTTTCTTCCGTTTCCACCGTCCCTATCTGCTTAATCATGACAGTGATATGGTATCACTTTGTCATGAGGCTCTGCTCTTTTTTTGATTTTGCAGAATGTATTTTATTGCTTTTTTTCCCCCTGAGATATCTTTGGGGTTGGGTTGCCTCTTATTACTTCTTCTAGAAACTGGTGTGCCCTATTTGTTTCTACTGTGAAAGGTTTCTTAATCCTCAGATGTCTTTCAAAGCAGAATTCCTAGGTTGCAGGCCATCGGTTATTTGCAGACAGACAATGGGCAGGTGGCACTTCTAGTTGAAGATGCCTGAGAAGGACCCCTTGTTCTGTTCTGTCTTATGGATCATCTGCCATTTATGAGGTGAAGAGCCGAAGCTGCCATGATGCAAGTGACTCCACCAGTTCACCTACTCTAGAGCCAGGGCTTCTTACAGAAAAAGACCTCTGCATCTGGGGAGCTTTCTAGATTTTTTTAAAAAGAACTTGATTCTTCTCAAGGTCCCTGGATTCGTGTCCTCTAAGAAAATCATCAGTCTGGATGCTCTGTGTCCTTCCACCTCCCACCATTTACCCCCATCCCTGATTCCCACCTGGGAAGGGAGCGTCTGCTCATTTTTATCTACAGACATTGGGGGGTTGGCTTTAAAAGGGATTCCATGTGAAGCTGAAATGCACTGAGCTTTTCCCAATCACTAGCATTTGGATTGATTTCTCACATCATCATTCTGACTTTCCTTAGGTGTGTAGACGCTCTCAATGAGTGCCCATTATGGCCTTCATCACTGTTTTGATGTTCCTATAGGTGATTCATTTGGAGAAAATCACTAGTGAAATGGGCTCTGCCTCACAGGCTCACGTCCGTCTCACGTCTCTTAAGAAGACACTGGCTACCACGCTCTCACCTCGAGTGTTACTGCCAGCCATCAACAAAACGTACAAGCAAATTGAGAAGAACTGGAAGGTTAGACCACATTGGGTATTTGACTTTGGAGAAGGGAGATATGGTACTGAAACTTTTAAATTTTCAGTTGAAGAGGAGTGTGGTGGTTTAATTCATTTATAAATGCATTAGTGAACTCTAGGAATATTGAAAATTGGCACACCTCTTTACTGTGTTGTTGGTAGAATCACATGGGTCCATTTATGAGCATCTTGCAAGAGCACATTGGGGTCATGAAGAAGGAAGAGCTCGCCTCCCATCAGTCTCAGCTGACTGTATTTTTCTTGGAGGCCCTGGACTTTCGAGCACAGCACTCCGAGGTAAGCTTATTTCCAGTCCCCCAAATCCTAAACTTATCTATACCTATTTAAGAGCCAGAGAAAAACCAGCTGTGTAACCTGTTGTACTTGCCAAAATTATTAGAGCTAGATGTCAGTACTCTAATAAATCAGCTCTTCTATTCCCAGAATGATCTGGAGGAAATTGGAAAAACGGAAAATTGCATCATTGACTGTCTAGTAGCCATGGTTGTGAAACTTTCTGAAGTCACATTCAGACCTCTGTTCTTCAAGGTACGCTTTCTTCCTCCACATCTCCTATGGACTCATATATGTGTTACAGGATGTGTAGAAGAAACTAATACTACATTATCTTTTTAGCTGTTTGATTGGGCTAAAACAGAGGATGCCCCAAAGGACAGACTGTTGACATTTTACAACGTGGCAGATTGCATTGCTGAGAAACTGAAAGGGCTTTTTACTCTGTTTGCTGGCCATTTAGTGAAGCCTTTTGCTGACACCTTGAACCAGGTGAACATCTCCAAAACAGGTTGGTAGCTGACTCCGGTTCTGTTGATGTCCTTGCTCTATGTACCTTGCACAAGGTACAGTTAGTATAATAAGCATGAGGAGGGTGAATTTTATAGTCAGGCCTTAAGCATTGACGTGTTTGTTTCAGCATAGTGAAAACATGCTGTGATTGACTCACTTGGAAGGCAGGGTAAAGTAAAATGAGCATTGCTGTAAGTTATTGGAAGTAACTTTAAAACATTGAAGTTAAGATTGGTTTGTTCTTTAATACTATTAATCAACCCACTTGACAACTGGTAACTTGCCAAACTAAGCAATCTTAACAACTGAGAATCTTAACTCTAAAAGGAGGAATCGCTTATCCGAGAGACCATCCCTTTTATTTGTGTTCTGTCTTCATCCTGATTATGATCTAGGTCATTTTAGAAAACCCTCCTGATTTAATAGTGACTTGAATTTAAACACTGGAGATCAAATTGTGAAATTCAGTTTTTTTGTTTTTGTTTTCATTCTCCCCTATCTACAGATGAAGCGTTTTTTGACTCTGAAAATGACCCTGAAAAGTGCTGTTTGCTATTACAGTTTATTTTGAACTGTTTATATAAAATCTTCCTTTTTGACACTCAGCATTTTCTAAGTAAAGAGAGAGCAGAAGCCTTGATGATGCCCCTGGTGGATCAGGTAACCAAGAAGAACCATCTTTTGTTAAAAGATGAGGAAGCCATTGGTTAAATTTTTATGGGTTTTATATCTACCAAAATGACAGTTGCTGGGCTTTTTTTTTTCCTCCAAGTTTTGTTTTTCCTTTTTTACAAAATTTTAATTTCAGAACCAGTTTCTCATTTTTCATGGATATAACTTATCTTCATAGTGGTGTTTACTGAGTTTTACTTTTGAATTTTTTGAGTGAAAGGTGTGATACAAGGTCTAATGGTTACATTTTTTTAAAACTGGGTTTATTGAGGTGGTTTCAGAGTTTGGCTGCCCTCTGAAAAAAACTCTCTAAGATGTTCTGCTGGAGGAAAAGAGATGAAGCTCAGGGCGATGTGATTTTCTATTTGAGTCCCAGAAGGTGGTAAATTTGCTCTAGAGAGAGTATTAGAGTAATACCTGGTTTTTGAGCACACTAATATTATGAAGGATAGTAAAATATTATTTACACATTGGGTATTTTTTCAAGCAGAAATGAAACCTGTTGCTCAAGTCCTTGTCTTTCAATAGCTGGAAAACAGGCTTGGAGGAGAAGAGAAGTTCCAGGAACGGGTGACGAAGCACCTGATACCATGCATTGCACAGTTCTCAGTGGCCATGGCAGACGACTCTCTGTGGAAACCACTGAACTACCAGATTCTGCTAAAGACGAGGGACTCCTCACCCAAGGTTAGGAGCTGTGGTTGACAAGCCCTGTTACTGTGCTGTCACCATATAGCCTAAACAACCCTGAAGTGGTTATGGACGTAGGACCGTGGTAAACTAGCAGGGACAAACATCACTGCTTGTCTTCTAGGACTAGAGGTTGGGCTGTGTTAGGCAGAAGTTTGAACCTGAAAAATGTTTGGCTTTTACTTTAGGCTATTTAAAAATAGTCGTCTTCCCCCCACCCCCATGGTGTGTTAGAGACAAGTACTGAAATACTTTCTAAATACTTGTAAATCTTGAAAAGACTTGCAGTATTTCCTTGTGTTTTTTAAGCACCATTTAAACGTCATTGTGCTCCCAGAGACAAATGCTTTCAGTTTGTCCACAGAATGTTCCTCTGAGTTAGAGGAATGTATCATCGCCATTGTATACATTAGGCTTAGGATTTTGTGGAAGAAAGGTAAGTGGTGATGGTTGACACCCACTAACATGGGGGGCGGGGATGAGTGGAAGTTAAAATCCCATACCCGAGTGTCAAAGTTTTCAAACTGTTCTAGCAATGAATCTCCATTTCTCCAACTAATTATCACACTAGAACCTCAGTGGATAAAACAGACCAAAACAGAATTTTATTAGTAGATTTATTAGTTGAAATTCATAACATTTATTTATTAGGAAATAATGAGAACAATGAGGCTATTTTAATGAAACCCCAGATTTTAAACTGTAAGTTCTTATAAAGTTGTAGCATTAAATTTATTTTTATTTTAATGTTTTGATTGTACAATATCAAGAAAATACTGATTGAACATAGGTAGTTACAAATGTTCTTTAAACAACTCACTTTACTGTATCCAAATATTCTTTAAATTATCCAAACCAGAAAGCACTAGTACAGCTGTTGTTTCAAAGTGAATGGCTAACACTACGCAGCAACTACTTGCATTCCTTGTCATAGACAAGTCATGTGGGAAGCACCTCAACTTTTTTTTCCAAGTTCCAAAACTAGGACATTGTGACACAGTGTGTTTTTTATTCAGGGCTGAGACAGTGTGTGACCAGAGCTGGTCCCTTGGCCCCTCACAGCTATGGTGGTGACCACACAGCATTCTGAGGGTGGGGAGTCCTGCCTGAGATGGCCTGGGACACTCCACCGCCAGGGCGGCATCATCTCTGTCAGCCAGGCGAGCGGTGAGCTCCAGTGCAGTTAAATTCGTTTTTTTAAAGGAAAATGTTATAAAAAGACATTCACATTAAAGCCCTGTAATACTGGAACACAGTCTGAAAAACACTGATCTATAAGGTTGCCATAGTATTAACAAATCCCAAATTGGTAAATAAACTGGTTTTCTAAGATGAAAGTTGAATCGACATAAAGTGAAACAAACTCATGTGAAACAACAGTTTAAAAAGTTAGAACTTGTCTCAAGTGAGGCAGATCTTAAGATAATAAATATAGCAATACTTGTTTTTTTCATTCTTTATCATTTTATCCCTTTCAGGTTCGATTTGCTGCTTTGATTACCGTATTAGCACTGGCTGAAAAACTAAAGGAGAATTATATTGTTTTGCTACCAGAATCCATTCCTTTCTTAGCTGAGCTGATGGAAGGTAATTCCCAAACTATTGAGAAATAATTACAGTAAAATTCTGTGAAAATGTGCCCATGATAATGGATAAGTGTGATTAGCCCTGGGCTCCATCCTCTGCCCGAAGCTAGAGGCCAGGTTCCTACTCTGAGTGGGTGGAGGGAGCAGGTTAGGAAGGGACAGCCTCCTGACCATTTGAGATTTTGTTTACATTATAATCTTCACTGTCTTTACTTTTGTGTTTTTTTGTGATAGTACAAAAAGACTACAATATTTTTTTTCATTAACCTCATACATTTATATGATTGAAATTTTGGTCCCAGATGTAGGGTACTGTATCAAATGTCTCGTGCCGTTAAGGATGCAATAGGATAGCTGCCTGTTAATAATGACCAGCGTTTAGTGTTCTCCATAGATGATCGCATTTAATCCTCACAACAAGGCATACAGTATGCCTTATGCCTGTTTTATAAAGGAAGAAACTACAGGTTTTAAAAGGACTAAGTAATTTAATAAACTAGCACAGTGAGTGTCACAGGTGGAACTGGGGTTTAAGTCCAGGTTCGTGTAGTGCTGCACCTGTGGCACAGTAAGCACTGTGCCACCACTCGGCCCAGGAAATAACAGTACATCTTATTATTAAGCAGGGATGAGGGAGGCAAATAGATAAATGCTTTCATATTAACGATTCACTCCCTATCTAAAACAAAGTACATTCACCTTTGTTTCTTACATCCGGGAGAAGAGCCGTGTGAGCTACTCAAGAATGGCATTGCTGGGAGTCTGGAATTTTCATTTGCGCACTGCTATTCTGGGGGGGTCTATCTTATTCAGCTTCCAAGTCTAAGTAGAAGGGAAGGAAGGAAAGAGGAATACGGAGGAGGTATTCCCTGATGCTTTCTGCTTCATTAATGTGCTTCATTTCTCTCCCTTGATTGAATGATTGCCAGAGAATGCAAGATGTAAAGAATTAGGCTAATGGTAACTGAGGCAGGAAGACTGCCATGTTCGCTGTGATGTTTTCTCTTGTAGATGAATGTGAGGAAGTCGAGCAGCAGTGCCAGAAGACTGTTCAGCACCTGGAGGCTGTACTGGGAGAGCCACTCCAGAGCTACTTCTGAAACTTGGGTTTTTTGGTGTTTCATACTCTTTTGAGAGTTCAGATTTATTTTTCATACTTTTGTTTCTGGTTGTTTGGTACCATGTTACTTTTGGTGCCTTAACACCCACTTGGACTTCTTTACAAAATCCCCACCTGGTTTGTGCTCCCACACCAGTTGTAGAGAATTGCAAAAAGAGTAAATGATACATGGTGTTTTTATACAGACTGCTGTGCTTATTTAAACCTTTATGATAGTCTTTTCTGATTGATGTTATTAATATTACAGATATGTTTAATTTTAGCACCCAAAGCTAACAAAACCTCATTTAGAATGGAAAGCCGTAACTCTTCTGTAAAGGAATGTCTTAGGTACATGGTCTTCGTGTCAGAGATTGCATTCAAAGCAGCTCTTCAAGGAAATGACAGTTATTCAGCACAATTGGGATTTTTACTTCAGCAGTCATTTTTGTGTGTGCGCCCCCCAAGGGAAGCGCTTCTTTCCTTCAGGACTGTGATTGTCGTCTTTATCTGTCTGTGTCTTGTGGGGGTGGAGGCAATAGGCTGTTTATAAAACAACCACACCTGCCTGACCCACAATTAGAAAGGGCCCAGAAAAGCTAGGTGGCAGGAAGGAGCCCCTCTAGGATTAGAAATGATCATGTTTCTGCTGGGGGTTAACCAAGAATTACTCATAGGAGAAAGAAAGTAAATACCAGATTTTCTTCAAAGCTTTGAAGTTCTCTAATCTCTGTACTATGTCATGGTGAAGCTGGAAAGTGAGGGCTCAAATAAAATTAAATCTGCCCAAGGCATTTTATTTATTTATGCCTTTTTAAAATTTAAGAACTGTCCCATAGAATGTTCTAATTGAGCTTGAAAGCCTTTGATCTAATTTAATATAGAAATTTAGTGCAGAATTATGACAAAGAAGCAAAAGGCTAACTTGCAGTTTTAGAGAGTGAGCTTGCGAGGAATGCATATTTCTCTTTAAGAAATGTCTCAAGAGGATTCATTTATAAATGCTAATAGCTTATTTTCAGAAAATATCTTTAAGATTTTGTATTTATTCTCTCAAAGCATCAGTCTTAGGTCTTAGTAATACCTCCATGTAAAGAAAAATGAAAATGAACTATATTTAAGCCTTAGAGGAAACAATGTTAAGTGGGCTTTTATTTTTTCCTAAGTGGCCTACAGTCTCCAACATCTCAGTCCTGCCCTCTGATGTTCTTTAATGAAGAAAAAAATAACCCTGGGGGATTCTAGAGCCTTCCTGCTTCTACCACTTTTCCCCAACACCCCCACCCACAATGTTTTTTTGAGCCTGGCAAGAAAGCATAGTAAATTAAGATGCAAAAGTAGAAAAGAATTAAGAGCTAGAAGTTTCCACACTAAGTACTTTTAAAAAGTAAGACTGGTAATAGTATTCTTTTCGATATACAGATACAAATAAAATCTAACCAAAGTCTGTTATGAAAATATTCCTAAATCCTGGCAGAATTCAGCCTAGCAATTTAATATGATAAAATGATCTGACTGACTGAGCTTTTTCCCTCCCCACTCCCAAGTCTTTGGAATTTCCCGTAACAAGTTCTGACCTGTAAGAATTCCACAAAGAACTTCTGCCGAGTGCTTCAAAGATTAAGAGAAAAAAATACAGAAACGCAACAATTTAACCTGCTGATGCAGGTTTGATTTTAATCACTTAGAAAGAACAATGTTTGGATCTCAGTTGCTAATGATGAGGGACTGACCTTTAGAAGAGCAGAGGCAGTGCTGGTTTGCATGTGGAGAAGCAGCAGATTTCTCTGTTGCCTCTGCTTCATTGGTCTCGGGGTATTTTACTTTCTCCTAGTGCCTACTTTATAAACAATCATTAAGTCTAATCTTGACATTGCTTTGTTACCCATAATCATTTTATAAATTGAATTCATCTTGCTTCTACCTTAAACTTTCTGTAGGAGTATGTGCAGACCTCTGACTCACCCTAAATTCAAATATTCTAAAATAAGCATTTACTGGTATAGAAATCAATGGCCTTGAGATTGATATCAAGTGAATTTCAACACCATTTGTTTTTGGTTTTTGCCTTAATCTTTGTGCCATGTTCAGATTTCATAATGTCAATTATTTGGTAATGCTGTAGAGCTAGATATTTATTATGCTGAAGAAAATCGCCAGATGTAGCTCAACATCAATCCTTTCAGTTATGGGACATGATAGAACACTGGTTACGAGAGCGATCACTGGTGAAGGGGTAGTGTATTCTATAAATTAGTGTCTTTAGGTGATTTACTAGCTGAGTGGTAAGTTTATTCAATGCCTGTCGAAAAAACAGCGGCAGAGCACAGAAGATTCTGAGCTCAAGACAACAGGGAACAGATTGGTTTGGGGCACCACTGTGTATATATCCCCAGCTCCTAGCACAGTGCTGGCAAAAAATAAGTGCTCAACGCATGTTAGCTACTGTATTGTAAGAGGCAGTTAATAAATACTTGTTGAATGTAACGTGGGTTTAAAAAAGAAGAGGCCAGGTTGGGGGGAGAGCTTAGAAAGGCCTTAATAATAGCTTTAAGTTGCTGTTGGCTCAAATTTCCTCATTCTGTTCTAGACAATCACACTGCATGGCAAGGACTGAGAACACCCAGTAAGTAGGACTTAATGTTATGCAACCTCAATTTAACAATATATATAAATGACATAACATAAATGACAGTGAGATGCATTTTAACAAGGCCAGTGTTACATAAGCCATTTTATATTTCAGTTTTTGTAGCAGCCATGTCAGCTACCAGCTCCTTACTTCCAGTAAGTGGATATCTCCATCAATTTCCAGCATGTCAATACTGCTCAGCTCTTTAAATCTGTGTTTATACTCCAGGCTGTGTACACCATTTACCGCAACCTTGAATTCTCTAACATCACAATAAATTATCATCTGGAAAGAAAGTACACACAACATTAACGGTTCCCCTTGGTTTAAACGTTTGTTTCTTGCACACTAACAAGAGTGTCAAAAAGTGAACCATCTGGTTTACTTTATACATAGAGAAGTTCTCCGAGCCTGCTGCTGTAACCTCCCTCTTGGGCTTTTTAAGACCCTAATCTAACGAAGGGGTATCAGGCATTGGCACCTTCTGCCTTGTTCTGAGGGGAAGTGACTCTCAAGATGCTTGGAACCTCCCACTGTCCCCGGGGCCTGGCTGGCCCTCCTGTCTTCACAGGCTCCCTCTCCTGCAGCCCTCTCCTGCCAGTTGCTCCTGGGGAAGTGGAAAGCTGCCGCTCCCTCACTGATAGACGTCTGGAACTCAGACGCAGCAGGAAAACTGCGGACTGAGCCTCCCTCTCGGAGGAGCTGACTCCAACTAAGAGGCTGGGAACCAAGGGACTTGGATCCTGACTTTTCTCCCTCAAACTCTAGGGTCTTGGACAAATCAGACTATGAAATTTCAGAAGTGCAGAGCACTTGCTAGCGACGGCACAGCTGCTTGGTGACCCTAATTTCCATCCCAGCTCAGCACATCTTGGCCGCAAGTCTGTTTCTCAAAAGCTCTTCAAAGCTCAATATTCTATGACTCTACGGAGTAATTAGCATTCTGGCGGAGATTTGGTTTAGATTCACCACTGGTGTTAGCCCTTCAGAGTTGTCTTTGGCTAAAACTCAAAGCAGTAAAAAACAAAAGAAACTACTATCCTCTTAAATTACTTTACACCTAAACCTCATACTTTCTGATACCATGTTCCCACCACCAGTCTGGCCACTGATTCTACCATTTGTTTTCCGCCCACACAGAAAAGGCCAGTTTGGTGAACCTGCACTGTGTTCTTCCCTATGCTCTGGCCTCCATCAAGCCTTCTAACGTGGCCCCAGCCCCAAAGGTAGACTGAGGCACAAAATCTGAATCTGCAAAGAAGCAAACCAAGGCTGTTCTTTTGATAGGACTAGTGGCAGTGGCTCCTGGGGGAAACAAGGAAAGGGGGAAATCCCGTGGATAATAGAGCTAAGTGACAGAAATTAAGGCTCTAGGGCTCCAGAGAGAACTGGGGAAAACATCCATAACCTCGGATTATATCCCCACAACAATGGTGGAAACCCAGTTTCAACCAGGTGGAAGGGACCTTTGGTAATGAATGTACGTTTAACAAAATCTTAAGAGAGCACAAAACACACAGCTTCCTGCTCAGGAGGGAAAACAAGGTGGCATTAGATGGATGCAGTGGAAAAAGAGTCACTTAGTTACTCATATTGTATCAGAGCCAGTGCATTACGAACAAATGGCAAAGAGATGGCATGCAGCCAATGAACATACTATGCAAAACAGGAAAAACACATAACAAGCCAAAAAAACCACAGCCCAACCTAGAGGAAAACATGGAACAACAAAATCCCTCACAACCACCTAATGTTACAGAATAGCTCACAAGAACATGAATTTGATAAGAGCTCACAGATGAAATTACAAAACTGAAAAGTATTTTTTAAAAGATTGTAGCTGAAACTAATAAATTTGAAATGGCAAGGAACAGAAGATAACTTTAAAATCAGAGTAATGGCAAAATGGAAAGATCGGAGAATCTCAATGAAAGCATATTAATAAGGCAAGAGTTTGAAGCAATTGGAAAAAATTTATCACTGTACAAAACAGAGCAATGATCCAACACGAGGATAATTAACTGTTTCTGAAGTAGAAAACTAGCAAAAGGAAAAGATTATTTAAAAGAATTCATTATTATTGTCCTTTTTTATTTTACTACAGTAATTCCAAACTTGGGGCTCAGATAAGTAAAAAAACAAGTTGTGTCACTGGTTTCCTGTCACCAATCACAAGGATCAACTTCCTTCTGGAGCATTCACCTCTAACTCCCTTCCGTAAACCCTAAGACACACTTCATACCTTGACTCCTGCCAAGTCGACAAACCCTTGGGCTGCCCTTCTCTCCTCCAGAGACCTGTGCAGGTCATCCCCTAAATCTGGAAAACCCCACTTCACCTTCAACCTCCCACATCCTTCTGAATTCCAAACCCACATCCACCATTTCCAGGGAACCTATAATTAGCCCACATCTGCCTGTTACCCCACATCCCAGGACTGTGCAGTAGACGGGAACTTGTGAATAAACATTAATGTCAAATCGCCATCCTTCATTCAGCCTTGATGTTCATGCTTTTAACAACTAGTTTTGATAAGTCCTCAAGAACTCAAATGGTCCAGAGCATGTGACAGTTTAAAAAGATGTTGAAGCATGACCTAAATCAGTGACCCTAAATGACCATGTGAGGCAGTGAGTCACCTAAGCTGGTGAGTGAACCCAGCCAACCACCCAGCATCCACATGTCAAGGAGACTATTCTCTGCTCAGCATCCCAGACACATATTCTGGGAAAGGCTGTGTTATAACACGCACATATGTGGGGATTCAGGACTACATGCCTTCAAGTTCCAGTGGTCTGAACGTGTCCTTCCCTGGATATATACAAACAGGACTGACTCCCTGGAAGAAAGGACTGCCACCTAAAGCTGTGTCTAACCAAGAGGGCTGGCAACAGACAGTGCAGGCAGTTCTACAGCCCCTATGTCCTCGTGTTCACTTAGGATTAAACGTGTCACTCCGAGTCCTGAGATAAGGTTCCTATCAAAATTCCTATTAACTAATAGGGGGCTACACAGTAATTTGCAACAGATGTCAAATAATTCTAATGCAAATAACATGGTATTCTACTGGCTTTGCCATTTTTACTGATTGTGTTATAAAAGAGGACATTCAAAATACAACCTCCAAATAAACAAACAACAACCACACACAACCTCCACAGATTAAGTTAGGACTTGATTTAAATGGACTTTTTCCTGTTCCATTTTCAAAAAAAGATAATCTCACCTCAAAGTACATCCCAGGACTAAATGGGAAAGAGGTAATGTTTCTCTCTTCTTCTCCCCAGGACTCCTGAAGAAAAGAATTTCTTACAAATGCTTTAATATTGAGGCGTGGGTTCAAGTGGAGAGCAATATCCTTCGATTTTCCTGATTTTAGATCAACGTTAAAGCTTTTGAGAGAATAAAAAAACCTCTAATTAACCAAGTAGAAGAGTGTAGTGCAGTTTCTGCAATTTCATCAGTCAGAATTGAACTCCGATTACAACTACACAAAACATGTATGCACATGGACACAGAAACAGATGAAGGGGAATTTTAAATTCTGAGTCAGCAGTCCATTGATGTAAGTATGTTATTTGCAAAATAAAAATATAAAAACTTTAAAATCAATGTTGAGACTACAGATGTGGTTGGAGGAAACTGAAGGGCTGGAGCAAGTACACCAAACGATGCCTTCAGGCTGCAGAGTGCGGATGTTCTCAAGCAGGCGCTCCCTTCGAGCATTTACAAGTTTTCCTCCCTTCTTGAAAATAGCTCTAATTTCAAGCTTTCATAAATCTGAACATCTCTGGAGAAGGTTCTTAAAGCAAAAATTTCTAAGTCACATGACAAGAGGGGCCCTAACAAAAGTGCCCTGATCTCACAGGGCTGCCCTGGAGTTCGAGGTGAGGGTGGGCCTCATAGACAAAAACGCCACCCTCCTGTCGGCCACAAAAAGCCTAGGTCAGAACACTGGAATCTAGTCCTGGTTCTGCCACCAACTAGTTATTGGCAGTCTAACTTTCTCTTGCTTTAATATACTCATCTTTCCAATGAGGATTAGGACACTAGCCCTACTCATATCTCAAGACTGCTGTGGAGTATAAAGCAGTAAGAGACACACATGGAAAGTATCACACTATTACTGATAACTTCCTGATACCGACCTTTTGGCATTTGTATTCACTTCTCCTTTAACGACGATAGTTCGTCCAGGGCCCATTGAGGAGTTCAACCTTGCAACAAATGGCAGAGTCTGAAAAGAGACCACAGTCAGCACTAGGAAGCCTGCAGAAAGGGACCTCATGGGAAAACTGTCCAAACACACTGGGGGATGTTTAAAGGCCAGGACCTTGTAAAGCCCATGAAGGGACAGACTAAGTCTGCCTTGGTCCCAGATGGGTCCCCAGCAGTCAGCACTGTGCCTGGCTCATAGCAAGCACTCAGTGAGTACTTTTTAGACAATGAAATGAAGGGACGTGGAATGGGACCTGATATCCTCTGCATGAGTAAAACTCACTCATGCTTGGGGTCTGAAGTAGTGCTCTGTGTCCTACCTCAAGAGGAAGCAGCCTAGATGGAAGGAGTTAAGGAAATACACAGTAATGGCTCAGAGACTTTATGCCTGGTTGACTGAGACCTGTCCAGAGACAGCATATAAGGCAAAGTGGCTGCTCTGGGCTTCTAGTGAGGGTAGGGTTACACATACCAGTTAATTAAAATTTAATTTGTTTTACAGAAGTAAGAAAATTTTTGGCTTTTCAAACCTTCGACCAACAGTTGGTACGTAGTATTTTGGCGCAAGTCAAAGTGTGACTGGCAGTCGAACCTTTGCTCTTGGTGTAGACAGTTCTGGGTACGATTTTAGAAATGTCTCCTCTATTACTAGGCTGTAGGGAAACAGTTCTGCAATAAGGTATGGAATGAATGAAGCTGACTTCCAAGGTTTAAACTATTCATCGACTAGGCAATTTTGAAAATGTTCCACTTGCTATGACCTAGGCAAAAATATTTACAAACTGTGACATGCCAGACTTTTGTACCTATTGTAAGAGAAAGACAACATGAGGATATTTGAAAAGAATTACATTTTTTAATATGAGCAGTCAGATCTTACTGGTTGTACTGGCCAGAGCCCAGGACAGCAGTGCCTGCTCTGCCCTGGGGGTGACATGCGGTCCACTGGTGCTTTCTGACAGCGTGGGATAGAGCAGAAAAGGGCTACTCAGTCCTACGGTCCTGCTCATCTGAATCCTGAATCCTCCACCAGCAATTAATCATTTTCAGAGGACTACATGTGAGCTTCAAACACGTTTTATTTGGTCTTTCCAGGATGCTCCCCAAATGTTGAGTTTATATTCTATCTAAGAGGGAGGAACGTGCTGAGATCACTAAGGCTCACTTTCTCCCCTAGTAAGAGCACAACTCCATGTGTAAACTGCACTTGTTCCCATGGGGGAGAAGATGCATGTGGAAGTTCATTTGCCAGTGGGCTGATGGTGTTCAATGTCTAGAAATACCTCATGACAGTACTATTCAACAGTTAAGGGTGAGAGAGTTCTTTTTATATAAGAATGGTGGGCAGTGGTGACATACACTGAGAGTTTAAGCATCAGCAAAACTTAGAGTACCTGGCACCTAAGTATATGCCTCAATTTTCAAATGATTACTTCCAGCCTATTAATATTAAAAACAATTCTTCATATTAAAAACATAATTTTAAAAAACTCAGCCTGACTGCCACCTGATTTACGTGGCAATTAAAAGAAGATTTTTAATCTAGTAGTTCATTAAAAGATTTAATACTTACATTTTCTCTACTTATCTCTGTTAGTTCCAGAGTTGACGCTTGGGTACTTCTTAAATCCTGAAGAAAAGATAAGATTAACTTTTAACATCCACCAGAATTCTAAATATAACCTGACATATCAAAAAAAATTATAAATGGTACTACACATAAAAACATGCGTAAAAATTACAATCCAAAAATGAACTTAACATTAGGGTCCTTTTCCCCCTTATCAAATTGGCAACCATGAAAGAGATTAAGAACTAATTTCAAGAAGAATGTGAGAAAATGGGCCCAGTTGTTGAGGGCACAAATTGTTTTCATCTTTTTGGAGAGCCAGTAAGCAGTACCAATCATAAGTTAAGGAGCAATATCCTTTGACTCAGACATTCTACTTCTAGGAAGCTACCTCAGAAAAATACTCCATTGTACTCCTGTGTCAAGGAAATATACCCTGTCCAGCTAAAAAGGACTGTTTGTTTGGGGTTTCTTCTTAGAACAATACTAAATTTGAGATCCTACAGACAATAAATAGCATCCTACTAGTCTGAAAGACTTGCTTCCAAAAAAGTAATACACTAATGAGGGAGACATTTACATTATCTTCACCTTAACAGAACATGTTAATTAAAGATGTTTTCTACCATTTCATCAGAAAACATCATCAGGGGGCTGGCCCTGTGGCTGAGTGGTTAAAGTTCACGTGCTCTGCTTCAGAGGCCCAGGGTTCGTGGGTTCAGATCCTGGGCATGGACCTAGCACCACTCATCAAGCCATGCTGTGGTGGCGTCCCACACAGAAGAACCAGAATGACCTACAACTAGAATATACAACTATGTACTGGGCTTTGGGGAGGGGAAAAAAGAAAACATCATCAGAGAAGACTTCGGGCTATGGAAAGGCACTCACCGAACTGAAGCTAAAGCCAACGGAGTGAATATTCACTTTGCCAGAAATGCCCAGAGTGTCAATCTTCTCTGGGCTAATCCTGTGGGCATAGAGCAGTATATGTTTTCCATTTACAGCCACCTAGATGAACAGAGAAGACAGCCCCCCAACCAAAAAGAAAAACAGTTAATAAATTAATTTTATTAATTTAACCAAATTTAAATCTGTTTACCGGGTTTAATTTTGTACCTTTTCCCATAGATGTCCACGTTACACAGCTGATCAAACTGTGACTGAAAGTATCCACAACACTAGCAGAGTTCCTTCTTTTGAGTACCTGATCTGATTAAATGCCATGAACCCTCTCTCCAGACAGACTACGCACTCATGAATATATGTACATATGCATGTGCGTACCTGTGCATATATATGAGGGTTCAAACATTCCCCGGATGCTCCAGAGGCCTGCGAACCCAGGTCAGAGATCTGCCCTGCAAGCTCACCCCGCCACTGTCCTTAGGACCACACCCTAAGAGAGATCACCTTGCACGCGGCAGGCATTCAATAATTATTTGTTGAATTTGCTGGATGAATGAACATGGGCAAGTTACCCAACTTATCTGAGATTCCTATCTGTAAGCAGGAAAAAGCTCTCCTTCAAAGGGCTGCTGTTGGGAGGAGACGACAAAGTCACTTCTGAGTCCCCTAGCACAGAGCCTGACGCAGAGCAGGTCTCCATACACACAGTTCCTTGTCCTCCTGCCCAAATGCCAGGGACTGGGGTAGGGAGTGTTGGGAAAACACAAGCAGAATACAGTATGTTCTCTGACCTCAAGGAGCTTAAAATCAAACAAAATAAACCCCGGAAAAAACCAAAGCACAACAGTACAGGAACGTGTGTTAAAAAAGAATGATAGAGATGCAAGTGCTCAAAAGACCAGAGAAGGGAGGGATTGATGGAGTTCAGGAGATTTAGGGGAGAAGTTCTGGTGGGAGCAGAGTCCTGAAGGACAGAAAGGATCTACACCAGAGAGCGGAGAGTCCTCACTGTAAGCAGTTCAGATCTCTGGTCTGGGAGGCTCCACAGGCTTGCAGGCAAGTAGGCAGAAGAGCCTCTCGGAGAAAATTCCACCTTACACATCCGCACTAGGATGAAGTGCTCAAGGAAGCCGGTGATGGTATTTACTACACGTCGGATCTCTAAGAGCTCCTTTGGGTCTCAAATCTCATGATCCTAAAGAACTATCTTGTGGCAAGACTTAACTTTACAAAACCCTTCTGACTTCCACACTAGATTCCTGAGCTGTCTATTAGTTCCAGATTTCCCCAAACTCTGAGTCATGGTGGTTATAATTTACTACCCCAGAATTAATATAATGCTGGGCCAATTCTGAGCTAAATTCAGTCCTGCTAGGAGAAATATGACCTAATAAAAAGATCTGGCTGCACCGGAACCTGTATTCCACACAACAGCATTGGTGCGAGACAGCAGCTGTGCCCCACCCACATATAGGTACCTGCCCATCCTCTAACTTTAGAGAAAAATTAGAAAGCCAAACTCTTTCTCTGGATTTAAAAAATGTAACGTGAAAAGCATGCTTGGGCATTTGTTCTCATTAATGAGGATTCAACCTTCATTCTCCAAAACCTACCTGGAATTTGTCTTTCAGCACCATAAACACAATTTCAAAAGATCTTTCTTTCTTGAAAGGCATGTCATAGGTGATCTCTTCCCATCCCCATTTTTCATTTTTCAGAGTATTGCAAACAATGCAGTTGGACCTTTTGAAACGTGGATTGAAATGGAAGGCCACATCGGCTCGAGGCTTCACACTGCTGCCACACTGTAAATCCACCTGGAACCTACACGAGGAAAGAAACATGGGCCACATAAGTACTCAGAAAGGAAGGCTGCGGGGAAAGGCCTGGCAAGCACAAAAATCCAGGCTGAGTGACATATGACTGATCCTTTGTTCATTCATCCATGTGGCCTAAATGCCTAGTTGCCTCATCTTCCTTTCCTTCTTCCTTAGTAACAGAATCCCTGAGCAATCACTGGGGCCTATCTGTCCAGAATAGGAGCCTATGTTTTCCAGCCTCCCTTGCAGCTAGGCATGCGTGTGTCCTTAAAGCTCTGCCAATGAGGTGAGAGCAAAGTATTCAGGGAAAACTAATTATTAGAAATGGCCTTAAAAGTCAGCTGGCATCTGCCTTTTGTGCACTCACTGCCCCCTCCCCACCCATATGCACCCACCTAGCTATCCAAAACACAGATGTGAGAGCTGGAGTTCCAGCCTCTAAGATTCACAAGAAAGAGAACCTCACCCTAGGGACAGCAGAGTGGTGAGCCTGAAGAGGCCTACGTCTCTAACAACCTTAGAGAGTTGTCTTAAAAGGTTGGGCTGTTTCCTTGAGACTTAATTTTCACATCTTCTTTGGGTGTCAGCCACAAAGAGCTCTAACTGATAAAGCCTAGTCCAGAGTTTGTATCCAAAGCAAGCATTTGATAAAACCATCCAGAACAGATCTTAAGAGATGCTGCGGGAATGTTACACTGTAACTAGACTTTGTCCCTGTCATCTGACCACAATTCCCTTCTTTAACTACATATCTGATTCTTTATATTGAAATCAGATATAGCAATAAAATAAAAAAATCCAAAAAACTTTTATTTCAGCCATTCATTCCAATCTCCTTGGCACCTTGTCCAGGGCTGCTGAGGAAAGCAAAAGCAGGCCTCAAAGTTTCAAAATGGTCTCTCCCACATTGTTTGTTGTTGTTCCACAATCACAAAAAGATCATTTATTCATCTTCTTTTTTCATCTAAAACAATGATTTTACCTGTCCGAGTCGTTAGGAACATGCCCACGTACTACAATCAAAGTTCCAGGCTCCAACTGCTCAGGAATGGTCCCAACATAGGGGATTATCTAGGAAAAATAATTTTAACAAATGCGCATTTACATAAACAATATTGAAAGACCACATTTTTAAAAGCTAGCATTTTCCAAGTTGTCCTCACTATTCAAAGAGCTACAGGGAATAACATGGCCAGGATACTCACAATATCTGCAAATCACTCTGAGTCCTTTGGAAAAAGACACAAGATAAACACTATTTCTAGTATTTGGCTAAGGATTTTGTAAAATGAAACTTCCACTTAATAGGATAACTCTGATAATAGAAAAAACAACTTATTGCAATGTCATGCCCCCTCCCTTCTTCCTAATGTCCCACTGATGTTCCCAACAGCAGGATGAAGACCACACTAGGCCCTTCACCAATGCTGACGGAGATAATGATAAACACTCACTGCCCATGGAGAGGGCTGCAAACTTAGCCACTCCTCAACGCCTAGGATTCAAGCGCCTAATCTTCTCTGCTGGGCTTCCAGACTACCACTCACACTACAACGCTGGAACTCAGAGAACTGCATGATCTTAAGAAGCAGCTCTGGGTGCCTATGCATCTCTCAAGACACGGGCATCCAGCTACCCTGGCCTGGCTGGGTCTGCAAGCTTGGGTGGGCTCCAACAGGTGGTCCTGCACAGTATTCAGGTCTAAACCTGCCCGCTCACCACGTGGAACCCAGCCTTTTTGTCTGGGGCCTGACAAACTTTCAGATCTTGTCACTCCCCTTCCCCAGAGGTGACTCCACTGTCCTCCCCATCCACTGGGGACCTGTGCTATCTGTCTGCATCTCCTGCATCATGACCATCTCTTTCCTCCACGTGGGAGCATCAGAACCAAGCCAAGCAAGCCAGACATCATCCTGCTTTATGCCAAGATGTGATACTTTGTTTGGCTGTTCAAAATCAGAATCTCCTTCCACACCTGGAAAATCCTCTACCTATGAACACTAGATCTCAGCTAGACTGCAGCGAGGGCAAGGGCATATGATGAAACTCTGTCCGTCAGCACCCCCAGCTCAGACTCTAAGTTAGAACTAGTGACAAGAAGAAGCCAGAATCACGCAGGATTCCCTCTGGCAAGGGGGCAGCAGCTACATCCAGGGTGACAGGCATTGCTGGCATTGGTGCTGTTGCCAGTGTAAAAAGTACCATCCGTGTCAGGTCGTAGCAACAGATGTCTATTTGTGGGAACAGTCCTACAGCATGATTTTGGGTGTTGTCTGTGACTATGTAGTCGCCAAGCCTGCTTCTTCAGTCCTGCCAGAGACTCTGAGAACCACTCAACATCATTTAATAAATTCCTTTTCTGCTCAAATTAGAGATTGGCTTCTGTGCTTGCAACTATAAACCCTGAGTAATTCAACAACCAAAAATATGGGGCAGTAAGTAAGTGCCAGATAAATGCTTCAGAAAAACGTATAAAGAATTCTAACTGAGGTGGCAAAAGAAAGTTTACAAGGCAGGTGTGATTTGAGCTGGGAAGAATATAGTTAGGCAGAGAGAAGGAAGCCAGTTCAGGTAGAAATGTCAGTTTACAGAAGCAGAGAGGTAGGAAAAGACAAAACTCATGTGAAGGACAGTACGTAGTAAGGGAGCAGTTACAGAAAGGCAGGATCAGGTCAGATTTTAGAATGACATAATGACAGCGGGGTTGGGGAACCACAGTCCAGTGGGGTTACAATGCACTGGAGGGGAGGGGATCATCTGGGTGACTGACTACTTCCAGACAGCCTGGCATAAGGAGGTAAGGATATAATCCAAGATGATGGCAGCAGACATTGGCGGGGGGTCGGGGTGGGGGCAAGGTGGTGGATAGATACAAGAGATATTTCAAAGGAAATTATCTACACAGTGCCACCATCTAAAATGGTAAAACTGGGAGGAAGGTACATTTCTGAAGGAAGGTAATGAATTCAGTTTTCAACACTTTTAGTGTGAAGGGTTGGTAGGACATCTAAGAGCAAATATACTGAAAAGAATAGGAGACTCAGTGAATGGCCAGAATTCATACTTAAAAGTCAGAGTAGAGATTATTATTAAAGATATCAAAATAGATGAGAGAGAGGAAAAGTCAGGGGCAAAGCCTCAATGGTTTGTAAAATTGAGGGGTGTGCAGAAAAGGTCAACAAAGCAGACCTGAGCGCTATCCTTGCCTCCTTATAAGGCTGGCCCTTGGCTGGGGTCTAGGAACTCGGATATGGGTGCACCCACTTCCCTAACTAACAAGGGTGGTTTACTCTGCCTAAACTGTTTGTGCAAACAATACAGTTTATGGTAAACACTTGCTTTCCTTTTGGGAGTCTGGAAGTTTGGAATGTGCTAGGCAGAAGCTGCCTACATGACCAGCCCTCAATAAAAACCCTAGGTAGTGAGTGTCTAATGAGCTTCCCTAGTAGACAACATGTCACACATGCTGTCACAACTCGTTGCTAGAGGATTTAAGCACATTTTGTGTGACTCCACTGGGAGACGACTCTTGGAACCTTGCACCTAGTTTCCCCTGGATTTTGCCCCATGTGCCCTTTCCCTTTGCAATTTTGCTCTGAATCCTTTCACTGAAATAAATCATAACCATATGATATCACTCCATGCTGGTAAATTATCAAAACTGGGGATGTGCTGGAGACTTGGACGCAGGGGGTGAGAAGAGAAAGAAGACAGAAGAGTCAGTTAGAGCATGGCAATCACATCAAGGAAGGCAATTTCAATAAGGGGAGGGCTGTTAATTTCTTTAACACAGAAAAACAAGGAAGATCCAAAAAATAAAGATAGTGAAATGGATATCCTACCCTTTGACCCAGTGATTCCACTTTTACAGATTTATCCTATAAAATACTGGCACACGTGCACAAAGATGCATATGCAAGGATGTACACCATAGCAGTGGATACAATCCCAAAAGGAAACAGTCTTTTAACAGGGGACTGGTTAAATAAGTTATAGTGCATCCACACAATGGACTAATTATGCAGCCATAAAATAAGTGAGGAAGATCTAGATGTGCTGATGTCTCCAAAATGTGTTAAATGGGAAAGAGCAGGTAATAGAACAGTTTATATCCTATGATACGTACATAAAGAAACAGGATATATACAAGGTGACATACACAACACACACACTCTTGAATAGATCATATATTCTCAGCAAGGATATACAAAAAATTAGTGGAAAACCATTACCTTTAGGGAAGAGAACTGAGCACCAGAATAGAAGGAAAATTTATGTTTTAATGAAACCTTTAAATACTGTTTGAATTTCAAAAATGATTTACACATATTATTTTTATATTTTAAAAATAAAAAAGGGAAAGCCACTGGGTTTGACAGAAATGAACTTTAAATTTTGAAGACATTATCTTCACACTCTTGGGGGCTCAGTAGCACAGGAGGCAAAAGTTAACGAGCAGAAGGGCACTGATGGAGACAGAAACCACAGGAGGGAAGCTGGTTTGGGAAGGAAAATGCGAGTTCAGTTTCGAACTCATCTGGAAGGGTTAGCAGGCCATCTAAGAAAGCTCATGGTGGTGAAAGGCCAGAACTATATACACACTGTACACATATTCAGGTCTAAAGGTGATCAGCAGAGACGCGAAAGAAATAAAGAGAGAAGTTCAAGACAAGATTGGTAAAGACAAGAAAGAAATAAGAAAGAGCGAAAAATCAGAAGGCAGAGCGGGGTGAGGAAATCAAGGCAGCAGAGACGGACCCCCTCAGAGGGTGGTCAGCAAAAGGAGGAACGACAAGGGAACAAAGGCTGAGAGGGACCTCAGAGGCTAAAAGACAAAGATTTTATTGTTTTGTGTTTTAAGATTAAATTGTAAAGTAGAAAGAGAGGTCCTTAGAAAACTAAGGAGAAAAGGATAATGTGGAAGCAAGGTTCCTAAAGGAACTGGAATGATGAGCTTTGATTAATGTTAACAAGCGGTTTATTAACTTGGAGTAACGACCAATCTGTTTAACTCCTAATAACTTCTTAACCAGGTAACACTCAATGACATCTTAAGAACTCTATAAACAACAATAATAAAATATTTAGGTAGATACTGAGCTGCCAAACAAGAGATTTCACTGAGGGCATTTCTGGTATAGGTACCGTCTTCCAAATTATTCACTCAATTTGAATGGGAAAAAAAAAAGCAAGTCTGACTCTTTTTTTTTTTTTTTTTTTTGCTTTTTCTCCCTAAATCCTCCCAGTACATAGTTGTATATTTTAGTTGTGGGTCTTCCTAGTTGTGGCATGTGGGACGCCACCTCAACATGGCTTGATGAGTGGTGCCATGTCCGCACCCAGGATCTGAATCGGTGAAACCCTGAGCCGCCAAAGCGGAGAGCGCGGACTAACCACTCGGCCACAGGGCCAGCCTCAGTCTGACTTTTTTAAATCTTGGAATTCTATCAGTTGAACTAGTCAATGAAATACACTGAATGTGAAAAAAGTACATTGGGCCCGTTATACAATTTTATCTTTTCCAAGAAGAGTTAATACGGACAGAATTTGTCTACTGCCAATGTGGACCAAAACTTTAGAAACAGTAAGAAATAAAAATTAAAAGCTGGCAGCTCTCTGTCCACACAATGCTGAATAAAGAATATGGTAGAAACTCAATAAACACTTCCCCAGTGTTTGAGTTGATCACTAACAAAATAACCACAATGCAAGAGGTTTTTAAGTCTAGCTGTACAATACCCTAACTGATTAACTTAAAATAGCTAAGTTATTTCCAGCCTCTTTTTTTTTTTCCCATTGTCTTTTGAACACTGGAAGGGCAACTAGCTACAAATGGGAGAAAAGCTTAAGTGCAATTTGGGTGTTCAACACTATGAACAGTTAACAATAATGAGTATTAAACAATTTAAAGACTGATCAAAATGTTATTTTTGCCATTCAGTTCAGTCTTCCTACCTCTAACCTTTTCTACTTGTGAGAACTATGAAACAGAGAAACTTTAAAAAAACAAAAAGCTATTTGCCAAAAATATTTTCCTTTGGAAACCTGTTCTCATGAACTATCTTGGAACAGCACTGAGGCCCCTCGGGAGCCCTGAACGGACTTCACTGCTCTAAAGCGGCGCCACTCCTCCAGGCTCTCTTCACCAGGAAATGCACATCAACTTAGTTCCTTTCCACTCTACAGTGGAGGGTGCTAACCCCAGAAATTACAAGAATCATCAGTAAGCTAGCATCAAGAAATGCAGGGATTTTCATATATAAAATTATTTTCTAAATAACATTCAAATAAGGCATCTTTGTGCATGAAGGGCAGAAGAGAGCAGCATAACCCAACCATCCGATACTCCTCTTCCTGGCTTGAGACAAGATTGCACTTCAGTCACCCTTGGCAGGTAGCCTATTATTATTAACTATTAGTTTTAATCTTTACAGAAAGTCAGTTTACAACCTTGAGATGTTTTTAACTCTAAGATGCACAAAATCATTTAAAATGTCTCACTGACTTCAAATTCAGTAAATCTTCCTTTTTAAAACTTCTACCATTGAAGGCTATTTCTTCTAAACTGAGTTTGCTTGATGTGGTGGTTGTACCCCATTCTTGAACAATGACATTAAAAACTTACGGAAAAAAGAATTACAGCTACAATGTAAATAACCAAAAAATGAACCCACATAAACTAGTAAAACTGGTTTAGGGCCTTCCTTCCAAGACTCTACCTTCCCTATTGCCCAGGGGGTTTACAAAAGCAGCAGCAACTCCAGCTCTAAATTCAGAGTAAAGTCACGATGCGGTGTCAGATACCTGAGGACTAGACATCTCTAAAGACGCTCATCACCACAGAAAACTAAAACAAGTTTGTCACTTCCCAGGACGTACAGTGAAATTTCCAGCAATTACAGTCATTCAAGGGGTTCTTGGACCAGCACGAGGCCCAGACAAGACCCTTAGTTTTTCTCATTCTCCATCTCACTGCTAGCTTCTGACATTTTCCCTGCTCAAGTACCAAGTGTGTTTGAAAGGCAGAGGGAAAAGCTAAGATAGGAACTTCTCATGAGCACGTCTAATTATAAAAGAAACTTAAGGGGCCGGCCCTGCGGTGTGGTGGTTAAGTGCGTGCGCTCTGCTTCAGTGGCCCGGGGCTCACAGGTTCGGAGCTCCACATGGACCTACACACCGCTCATCAAGCCATGCTGTGGCAGCGTCCCACATACAAAATAGAGGAAGTTGCCACATCTGTTAGCTCAGCACCAATCTTCCTCAAGCAAAAAGAGGAAGATTGGCAACAGATGTTAGCTCAGGGCCAGTCTGCCTCACACACACACAAAGAAACTTAAAAACTTGTACAATAAGAAATCCATTTTCCTTTGAAAATTATGCCTTATGATTATTTGAGCCTCCCTACTACCATCAGAGTTGGCATTCCCTCCACTGTACTCCCACGTTCTCCATTCATAACACTGTTCTCATCGCCTCATATTGTAATTGTGACCTCGTCCTCCACTAGACTAGAGCTTCAAGGGCAGTATCTGTTTTTCAGTCAACACCCACCACAGTCCCCCAGCCCCAGAAATGGATCCTAACTATCCAACAGGGTTTGCTCTCAACACTACCACTGGTGAAGAAAGATTTTATAGAAATCAGTTACCGGGTTAGAGATGACATTCTGTAGGTTGTTTAAGGACAACATCCTTCTTTTCCACCTTATTTTTGATTGGGGTCTCTCTTCCGTGTATGCGCTAAGATTTTAAGCAAGTTTTATTTAAAGCCTTCCCAGATCGAAAGTGAGGCACTTGCCCTGTGTAAAACCAAAACAGAGGGAAAGAAAAATAAGCACGTATCATTTTTCTTCATATCATAACTCCTTTCAAATTTAAATTATAAATTATTTTACTATTTGCCAACTAACAGGATGCTATCATAATCAAAGAGCTGACCCAAATTTTTAGATAGTGTACTTATATATTATATACTAAATAATTTTGGATTATGAATACAGGAAATATTGATTTAGAAAACATATCAGTAGAAAATTTCTAACATGGAACTTACTAAAAATACTAAAATAAAATAATAGCAAATACTCCTGGACAACCAGCAGAGAGATTCACTTAACCTTTCCCATCGGTATAATGGGAATAATAATAGTATTCACCTCACAGGAATGTTCTCAGGATTAAATGAATTAATAAAACAATGGAATATAAGTGCCTTGTAAGTTTTGGCTATTATTATTATTAACAGAAGGGAGTGCTCTTCGTCCTCCAAATTAAACAAGTCAAAGGAAAAAAATCTAATCCCTTGAACATTAATGATACAGTCTTCTCTGTGGCTAAAAAAAAAAAAAAAGTGGTGGGGGGGAGCACTTAGCTATAGTTTTAAAGAGAAAAGTACCATGGGTACATTTAATTGCTTCAGGGAAAACCTGACGATTTAAGCAGAACTGAAAGAGAAACGAAACTACAGCTTCCTACATTTTACTTCCGCCGATTCTGTCATTATACTGTACAGCAATGCGCAGACCACACTATTACCTTGTCTCTATTAAGAAAAAAGCCGCATACCTCTTGGTTTACCACCTAAATGTAACCCCAACCTATGTCGTTAACTTACACATTTGAGTCAAAAGCACAGAACGCTTCTGCTCCATAAAATTCAGGAAGTACGAACAAGAACAAAAAGAAAGGATACAGAGTTGCCACAGCCACATTCATAATTAACATCGTGACCAGAGAGTGACCCAATTTAAGCCACAGGTTTGCATGAAACCAGTTATTCCTCGAAGTATCCACAAGGACAGCATTCGCTCCCAAGAAGTCACCACTGTTTCAGGGACGATCAAAGGAATTCAGATGACTTGCGTTTCCTATTGTTTACCATCGCAGTCAATGACTTGGCATCTTAAAAAAGGGCGCGTTCAGCGTCCGGGAGGGCACCGGAGGTCTGTCATTAAACTTTAAAGACGTGTCACTGAAAATACGGGAAGGAAACCTCTCCACATCGCCCGGTGTGCAGCGGCGCTCGGCCCGGGCCGGGAGGGAGCCCGGGCGGGCGGGTCCGCAGCGGGGCCACCGCAGGGCCAACAGCCGGACGCCCCGAGGGCTGTCCCGGGAGGGCCAGAGTCCCGGGAGCCGCTCGTCCCGGAGCTTCCCCGCCACCCAGCCCCGACTGCCGCGGTGACAACCCGGGGGAGGGGGTGACCGGAGACTGTCCCACCATCAGAGTCTGAGTTGGGGACAGCGACGTCCGAATGTCCCCCTCGGCCGGCCCCCGGGAAGACGGCCGGCGCCAACTCACCCGGGGAGAGGAGTCGCAGGCGCCCCTCGCGCGAGGCTGTTTGTCTGCCGCGGAGCGTCGTCCTGGCTCCGGCCGGCGGTGGGGACTACGGGAAGCGAGAGGAGTCAGGCCGCCTCCATTCCCCGCTTCGCGCCCGGGCGTCGCCGTCCGCCCCGCGTCTGCGTGGGGGCGTGCTCGCCGCTCCCGCCGCCGCGGGCCGCCTAGCTCCGCCTCCTGCCCGCCTGGGGACGTGGACCGCGCCGGCCTGCTGCGGGACCGGCAGAGGGAGACCGGGGCAGCGGGCGTGTTGAAAGGATTCCTGGGCCGCTCTGGCTGCCTCGGCCCGTCGTCGGGGCGCGGGGGAGGGGTGTGGGAAGGAGGCAGGGAAAGCCTGGTTCTCCCTCGGCCGGCGTGTCCCCGCCCGCCCGGTGTCCCGGCGCGGAGTCCAGGAGGCGGGGCGCTTAGAGCCGGGCCCCCCCAGGGCCAGTGTGACACCGCACAGCCGCCTGACCCGGCGGCGGGAGGGCCCACGCGGCCAGAAGCCCCGTCTCTGGGCTGCCCGGGGCGGCGGGGTCCGTGCCAGGGATTTCTCAAGGCTTGCTTCCTCGTCTGCACTGGATCAGAGTCCAAACAGTGCCACGAAAGATAACCCGAGTTGGAGGCGCCCCCTTTCTGCCTCCCTTTGGGTGTAAGTAACGTGGTGGGGCACTGAGGTCGGGACGGCTGGCCTGTGCCCAGCCCCAAGCCCCCATCTGGTTACTCTCACTTGGACTTGCCACCACTGGGGGTTATTCACCAATTATTTTAGTGTTGGTATTTTCTCACTAAGTTATACACTTCCCTAGGGAAGGATAAAAATACTGATCACAACTTGGAGCGTATTAGATGTTCAATAAATACCTGACTTGTCAGTCAAGGACCCACATTGACTGCTAGTTTGACCTACTGGCCATAAAAACGAGAGAAATACAACTAAAGTTATGTAAGCTACCTGGAACAGCTGGCTTTCTGCAAGGGACCACAAAGTTCTCATCTTTCTACCTGTCTCTACTTGATTTCTATCCACATTTGTTTTGAAAGACGTGTTTTGGTGTCATTGCTATGGGCTTTCTCCTCTGTAGCTTTTGTTTTCATTTAAATTGAGGAATTTCTTACACATGCCATACCAGTGAACTCACGTTCCGATTCACTTAGTGACTTTTCTCTCCTTTTCCTCCTGTTCATTTTCCAAGTAGATTCACTCTGCAGGATCCAACTTAAATAGCTGCGTTTAACCCTTGACATAGGCTACCTGGGGTTTGTCCTTATCTTTCTGTGTGCTGTGTTTTATCTGTCCAACTCGACTGCAACTTGAGAGGATGGATTTATATATTTCCCAATGCCTAGTTAATGCTTTGCCTGAAGTCGACGCTCTCAATATTCGGTTGAAATAATAGATTACCGATAAAGTGAGGAGCAATTGAATGTCTTCACAGTTCTGCCTCGGTTTAGTACCTCTCCTTTACAAAGTAAGTGGTGTTTAGGTGCGAATGGGACTGAGTAAAAGGGCCAGAAATCCAGTGTTAGTGAAATAATTCTCGATTAAAATAGCCACAAAACCAGAGAACTCTTAGAAATAACGCCCTCATTGGTCCCTGTTTTGTTCAATGAGCCCAGTATGGTTTTTATGTCAGTTAAAATAGGGGCCAGCCCAGTGGCGGAGTGGTTAAGTACGCCTGCTTGGCTTAAGTAGCCAGGGTTCATGGGTTCGATCCCCAGCCTGGGCCTACACACTGCTCATCAAGCCACGCTGTGGCGGCATCCCACATACAAAAAAAAAAACAGAGGAAGATGGCACAAATGTTAGCTCAGGGACAATCGTCCTCAGGAAAAAAATAAAAAATAAAATCAATCAATATGTACTGTATGCCTACTATGACAAGACATGGCGATAAGGAATACGAGTATACAAAGGGCTTTGTCCTATTTGACCCTTCCAGAGGCAGAGAAGAGACAAATACATGAAAGCCCCACATCTCTGCCTCGGATTGTTGCAGTAACCTCCTAATTGGTCTCTCTGCTTTTGCCCTTGGGCCCCTGCAACCTCTTCTCAGCACAGCAGCCAGAGAGATCATGACAAAACCATTCAAACAATGTTACTCCTCTGCTGAAACTTTCCACTAGCTTTTGTTCCTTCTCTGAGTAAAGAGCCAAGTCCTTACAAGAACACTTCCTGATCTGACCCCAGCCCCGTACTCTGACTTCACTTCCTGCTACATTCGGCCTCCCTCATTCTGCAGCAACCGCTACTGCCTTCTTCGTATTCTTAGGACAGGCTTGTCACGCTCCCACCTCAGAACCTTTGCCTTTGATGCTTCCTTTACCTTAAAGTCTACTCAGCTATCAGCTCTCAGTGAGGCCCTTCCTGACCACCCTACAATTGCAAACGCCCTCCCAAAACACACAGACACGATCCCTATCACTTCCTGGCTTTATCTTTCTCTAGCACTTACCAAATTCCAATATGTTATATAATTTATCTTTTTACTTTGGCTTCACCCGCCAGACTATAAGCTCCATGAGGACAGGGAGGTTGGGCTGTTCCTACTTCAGTGGAACGTACATTCCAGTGGGGGACGCAGATAGAGATGTGTTTTGGAGAAGATTAAAATAGGATGACGTAATTGGGAGCACTTGCGTGGCTACTTTAGTTGGGTGCCGGGGAAAGCTTTTCCCAAGAGATGAGGTTTAAGCTGCCGGTGAATGAATAAAGGAGGCAGCCATGTGAAGATCTTGGGGAAGAGCATTCTAGGCTGAGGGAACAGCTAGTGCAAAGTCCCCAAGGCTCTTGAGAATGCATTTAAGACGTTCAGGAAGAGGGAGGCTACCAGCATGACTGAAGCACAGATGGGGAGAAAATGATAAGAGGCGAAGTCACGGAATTTGATAAGGTCACCTAGGAGAGTAAACAGATGGAGGAACTGTCCTAGGACAGAGCCCTGGAGATAGAAGTCAAGAAGAGAAGAACCAGTAAAAGGACTGAGAAGGGGCAGCCATGGAGCCCTGCTGAGAGTGGCGTCAGACGCCAAAGAAAGTGTTTTAAGGAAGAACAGCAGCCAGCGGTGCCAAATGCTGTGGAGAGGTCGAGGAACACAGAAGTGACCAATGGATTTAGCAACATGGAGGTCATCGGGGGCTGACTCTGAAGTGAGTCGAGAAATGTGAGATGAAGACGTGATGGAAATAACAACTATAAATATTTTAAGTTTTGCTGTGAAGAGGAACAGAGAAACAGTGTTGTAGCTAAGGAAGGAGTGGAAAAAGGGAAGATTTTGATTTTCTTGTTTTATTTTTATTTTTGCTTTTAAAGAAAGACAATACTACATTGGTGCCTTTTAGACTTCAAGCAAACCACAGCAAGAACTACATTTCCATTGTGACTTGCTGCATACATGCTTAAAATTATGGCAACAAAAAGTTCACAAAATAATACTCCTGTTATGTGTGAAGCATTCTAATTTTTCATCAAAAAAATGCTGCTTATAACCCCTAAAATGTTTGCAAGATCCGCTAATGGGTTATGACCTGAGGTTTGAAAAACACTTGGTGTACTGAAGCTGGCTCATACCGGCTCAGAGAGCCAGTTTGGCACATGTCTTCCATGTTGGCACCTTGAAATTGGCCAGGATGGGAGTATTTACATCATGGAAATAGACAATGGCTACAACTGACGGCTTCGCTGCTACCGCCAGAAACCAGATGTTAAACATTTACCAGCATACTACTAACGGTACTCATGTAATCCAGTAGAGAAGAGAAACTGATGATGCAAGAGAGGAGATAGTTACAAAAGTGGCCCTTAAAATGATTTTGCCCAAAAAAACAAAAGAATAAAAGTTGAGAATATCCGTTCAAAACAAAAATGTAGGTGTTACAAATCATTTACAGACAATTGCCTTAGAGTTCCAAAGACAAAGGGATCATTTCTGGTTGGATCAATTTCTTTTTTATTGTTGTTTTTTTATTTGTGTGTTTGTTTGTTTTTAAATTAGCCATGTTTCATCCTACTATATATCCGCTGTTTTACCTTGTTTTTTTTTAAAGATTGGCACCTGAGCTAACAACTATTGCCAATCTTTTTTTTTCTTTCGGCTTTTTCTCCCCAAATCCTCCAGTACATAGTTGTATATTTTAGTTGTGGGTCCTTCTAGTTGTGGCATGTGGGACGGCACCTCAGCGTGGCCTGACGAGTGGTGCCATCTTCGCGCCCAGGATCCGAACCAGCGAAACCCTGGGCTGCTGAAGCAGAGCGCATGAACTTAACCGCTCGGCCACGGGGCCGACCCCCTGGATCAACTTCTTTTTCATCAAAATTATTGTCCTCTTTCCTTATCCAGGAAACCATATATATACATATATATATATATATATATATATATAAAATACAGTATGGCTGAAAATTTAGAAATATTGTGATATAAAAATATTGTCTTATAAGCAAAATGTGACAATATATATTGCCCAAATTTTTTTTAAAAACTAGTAAGAAAATCACGATTTTAGGCTTATGAATTGAAACTGTATATGCTCTTGCTACTTGGCAAGATTAACTGATTAAACAAATACCTGCCATATTTTGTCAATGATGTGAACTATGTTGTTTCAGGCTAAGAAATACTTCTGGTGGCGATTTTGCTTATTATTGCATTCCTGTGTTATTTTTGTTAAATAATGATACTATAATTTAAGAAAATTTTTTTGACCCGCCAAGCATGTATTAAATGGTGGTGCCAGCGCTGGGAAAATATTCCCCCAAATCAATAATTTTGGAAGACAAGTTAGATGTGATAAAACACTGTAAAGAACTTTAAATAACTGCTTTTTTTTTTTTTACTATGAATTTAGGAGCCAGAACTCTAGAATCTTTAGCAACAATAATGATAAATAAAAAGCAATAGAAAGTAAATATTTTGCCACAAGAGTTATAGATTTGTGAGCTCTGAGAACACATACCCTGCTTTCCCTTTATTCTCATGAGAAAATTTGTCTTGAATTAGGCAAGTTGCATCTTATTCAGGCTTTAGAAGAGTGCATTCTTTACAAAACCACAGCACTGTATTTCTTATACATATGTCTACTTCCCAGAGAAATTTTCATGGTTGGTGTCATCTGCCTCTTATGACTGTCCTCCCCACTCTAAAAGGACTCATTTCCTCTTTGACTCCTCTTGCTTTGAGCTATTCTCGCCCACTCCCCAATACCAGCACCACCTGTGAGCACTCAATCTCTTTTTTCACCCTCCAGACCCCTGTATTCAGATTCATCAGGCTTACCCCTTATGTTCTACAGGATCATGTCCCAAATCTAGTCTTCTCAGGTATGAGAGACAAGCTTCTAGAACTATGGTTTTGTCATAAAATAAAAGAATCTTGGAGATGGGAAAGATCTTCAGAGGGGTGTAAATTAAATTAATTCATCCCAATGGCTCAACGAATGAGATGCTGTCCTATTTTTAAAATACTTTTCTTGAATGGCTTGGCAGGCTATGGTATGTTAACTAAAGAATGCTGTTTTGTTATTTGACATGAGAAGAATATATCTGAAGTTATGCAAATTTTAAAAGTCAAAACAGAATACTTAAAAAGTTTACATATATAGGGGCCGGCCTGGGGGCGCAGTGGTTAAGTTCACTCCTTCCGCTTCTGTGGCCTGGGGTTCACCAGTTCGCATCCTGAGTGCGGACCTAGCACCCCTTGTCAAGCCATGCTGTGGCAGGCATCCCACATAGAAAGTAGAGGAAGATGGGCACAGATGTTAGCTCAGGGCTAATCTTCCTCAAAGAAAAAAAAGTTCATATATATAAATTTTGTATATATATTCCAAAAGTTTATATATATATACATATATATATTCCAATGTACCAGGCAACATGTTAGGCAGTAGAGATACAGTGAGTAAAAAATATAGCTTTCCTGGAGCTTAAATCTAGTGGGAGTTAGACATTAAGTAATTACATATATGTATTTTAAAAAGTGCAAAGGAATGATATTAGTAACTGTTAATGCTTATTGTGGTCTTTGTTCTTGCAAAGTTGCTGAGATTGATAATACTGTTAAAAGGTCTCCCTTTAGCAACCCCATCTCGATATTTAACCAACCCTTCTTGCATAGCTAATCCTCTTCCGGCTTGTATTTACACAGTTCATTATAACATAAAGTGACAAGTGGAACCTCAAGGGAAGAATTTCTGTGACAGGTTGGAGCAAGCAAGAAATTCAGGTGGTTTTTCCAAATAGAAAAATGTTATTGAGTCCAAGTGCTTTTTAAAAAACTTTTTATTTTGGAAATTTAAAACATACACATAAGTAAAGAGATAGCATGATGAATTCCCATCCACTCCTTGTCTAACTCCAGCAATTATCAACATGGCCCATCTTTTTTCATCTACACCTTGCCCACTCTTTCCCTACCAGTGGCTCATTTTGAAGCAAATCTCAGACTTCCTTTAATCTATAAAAATTTCAAAACTGATTGTTAGACTTAAAGGTTTAATAAGACCCAGCCTCAATTCTTTGGCCAGAAGACTTCATAGGTGTCATGTACTTCCAATTGCGAATCATCAGGTGGCACTTAAGTCTGGTACTTTTTCTCTTAGCAATAATCGTACCTCAGATAAACCTCATTGGCTACAATACTGCCACAGCGCAAAACTGGTTGTTTTTCTTTGTATGATAGCAAGACTGGTCAGTGGTTTCAGATGTTGTTAGCCTTATCCATCTATTACAAAGTTCTTACCAGTTTTTGATCAAATGGTTTTTAGAAACTAGCTATTGCTGGTCATTGCCTAGATCCATTATTTCATTAGGAATTGAAAAGTGGTGATATATCAGTTCCGTCATTTCTTCTGCATTTATGAGTTGGAATTCTTCAATAAGGAAATACTGTTTCCTTCATCAACTATTTGGTGAAGTTTATGCCAGAAAGGCAGGGTAAGTGCTGGTTTCTTCCCTTTACTTAGGGGTTTTCTTAATAATAAATTTGTTCCCTAGCCTCCCTGAAAGGTAACCAAGGAGTTGGTTTTTAAAAGTCATTATGAATTCATGAATATTAATATATTTGGTGTGTTTATTACTTTTTTTGATACTTCAATTATTCCATGTTTAACCAGAGGATTAACCCTTTGATTGGCTTTTGACACATCCCGGTCATCTTAGATAGTTTCCTTACTTTCTGGTATGACAAGACGTCCCAAGCTATCATTTTCATTTCCTGCCAGACCTGGATTTAGCAGTTTCTCCAAGGAAACTGTTAGTGGGAAATGGTATATAGAGACCACCATTTGGACTAGGGATGACCACAGCAACTGGGTTGGTTTCTAGACTTCCTCAGTGGGTGGAGCTAGGAAAAATTTTTTTTAAAAAATCTGAGTTTATACCATTTCTCTTCATTCAATTTAGGGTTACAATGTTTTCTCTTAGTTTTTTAATTTTATATTTACGTCTCATTTTTCTTATGAAAATCTTGGTTTCTAACAACCTAGTCTGCAATCCTATTATATATAATAAAATTTCAGGACAAAAAGATAAATATCATAACAATATGATTACAAAACAAAAATCAAGGTTTATTTGCAGTTTTTTGTCTGTCCTTAGGCTATATCTCACAAGAGATATATAATCAAATTTCTGTGTTTTAAAGTAATTTGACAGTGCTACCCAAAGCAATCTATAGATTTATTGCAATCACTATCAAAATCCCAAAAGCACTTTTTGCAGAAAAAGAAAAAAACAATCCTAAAATTCATATGGAATCTCAAGGGACCCTGAATAACCCAAACAATCTTGAAAAAGAACAAAAAGCTGCAGGTCTCACACTTTCTGATTTCAAACTATTACAAAACTAGTAAGCAAAATAGTGTAGTACTGGCATAAAGACAGACATATAAATCACTGGGATAGAATGAACCCTGAAATGAACCTTTGCGCATATGATCAAATGATCAACAAGGATGCCAAGACCACGCAATGGGAAAAGACAGTCTCTTCAACAAATGACACTGGGAACATTGGATATCCACATTCAAAAGAATGAAGTTGGACTCTTACCTTACACTGGATACAAAAATTAACTCAAAGTGGTTTAAAGACCTAAACGTAAAACCTAAAAGTATAAAATTCCTAGAAAAAAACAGAGAGAGAAAACTTCATGACGTTGGATTTGGGCAATAATTTCTTGGATATGATACCAAGAGCACAGATAACAAAAAATAGACAAATAGGACTATATCAAACTTAAAAATTCTGTGCATAAAGGACATAATCAACAGAATGAAAAGGCAACTTATGGAATGGGAAAAAACATTTGCAAATCATGTATCTGATGAGAGGTTAATATCCAGAATGTATAAAGAAATCCTACAACTCAGTAGCAAAATAACAAATAAACCAATTCAAAACTGCAAAGGATTTTAACAGACATTTCTCCAAAGATGATACAAATGACCAACAAGCATATGAAAAGATGATCAGCATCACTAATCATTAGATAAATGCAAATCAAAATCACAATGAGATACCACCTCAAACTCATTAAGATGGCTATTATAAAAAATAATAATAATAAGTATTTTGGCAAGGATGTGGAGAAATTGGAATCCTGTGCATCTTTCTTTTTTCTTGTAGTGTGGTTTTCTTTTTTTATTAACAAAGGTAACCTTTTTCGTATATTACTTGCCAATTACATTTCTTCCCTTTTTTTATTGCAGTAACATTGGTTTATAACATTATATAAATTTCAGGTGTACATCATAATATATTTCAATTCCTGTGTAAATTACATCATGTTCATCACCCAAAGACTAATTAAAATCCATCCCCACACACATGTGCCTAATCAGTCCTTTCGCCATGCTCCCTCCCCACTTCCCCTCTGGTAACCACCAATCCAATCTCCGTTGCTATGTGTTTGTTGGTTGTTGTTTTAATCTTCTACTTATGAGTGAGAGCATATGGTATTTGACATTCCCCCTCTGACTTATTTCACTTAGCATAATACCCTCAAGGTCCATCTATGTTGTCACAAATGGCCGAATCTCATCATTTCTTAGGGCTGAGTAGTATTCCTTTGTGTATACATATACCACATCTTCTTTATCCATTCGTCCCTTGATGGGCATCTAGGTTGCTTCCAAGTCTTAGCTATTGTGCATAATACTGCAGTGAACATAGGGGTGCATGAATGCATTTGTTTTCAAGTTCTTTGGATAAATACCCAGCAGTGGAATAGCTGGACCATAAGGTAGATCTGTTCTTAATTTTTTGAGGAGTCTCCATACTGTTTTCCATAGTGGCTGCATCAGTTTGCACTCCCACAAGCAGTGTATGAGGGTTCCCTTCTCTCCACATCCTCTCCAACACTTGTTGTTTTCTGTCTTGCCAATTATAGCCATTCTGATGGGAGTGAGGTGATGTTTCATTGTAGTTTTGATTTGCATTTCCCTGACAGTTAACGATGTTGAACATCTTTTCATGTGCCTATTGGCCATCTGTATATCTTCTTTGGAGAAATGCCTGTTCAGATCTTTTGCCCATTTTTTTAACTGGGTTGTTAGTTTTTTTGTTGTTGAGATGTATGAGTTCTTTGTATATTTTGCATGTTAACCCCTTATCAGATGTGTGGTGTGCAAATATCTTCTCTCAATTATTAGGTTGTCTTTTCATCTTGTTGACGGTTTCCTTTGCTGTGCAGAAGCTTTTTGATTTGATGTAGTCCCATTTATTATTTTTTCTTTTGTTTTTCTTGCCCAGTCAGAATGGTACTTGAAAATATGCTGCTAAGACCGATGTCAAAGAGCGTACTGCCTATGTTTTCTTCTAGACGTTTCATATCTCACAGTCAAGTCTTTCATCCATTTTGAGTTGATTTTTGTGCATGGTGTAAGATAATGGTCTACTTTCATTCTTTTGCATGTGGCTGTCCAGTTTTCCCAACACTATTTATTGAAGAGACTTTCTTTTCTCCATTGTATATTCTTGGCTCCCTTGTGTAAAATTAGTTGTCCATGCATGTGTGGGTTTATTTCTGGGCTCTCGATTCTGTTCTATTGATCTATGTGTCTGTTTTTGTGCCAGTTCAGGTTAGCTGGGTTTAAGGGCTTTGCAGAATGGGCAACAATCATCCCAAATCTCCTTCTGCTTAGTGGTTATATCCATTTTTTTCTCTATAATTTAGCTGTAATTTTAGCTATAATATTGCACCTTTTAAACTCTATCTTAGGAAGGTGAGGCTAAATTTTATGGTATTTTGCATTTGAGCCATAAGTAAAGAGTTGTTGTTTATTTTAATAAATAAAATGGTTTACTTTAATAAAAGTGGTTTCCAGCTTAAACTCTGACTGCCAACTGGCAAAACCTTAGGATTGTGTGAGGTGAGGCATGTTGATACTTTTGTTTATTTAAAGATGGGAGAGGCAGGAAAAACAGCAAACCATGCCATACCTGGAGGTGATATGGAGCTTTATGCTTAAGATCCTGAGCTTCGGAGTTGAGAAAGACAGGGAACTCAGTCCTGGTTTGACCATATCTAGTTTAGGTAAATTGTCTTTAAACATTTCTGCTCACATAACCTCTAACAGAATTTTGAAAAACTGTGTAATTTTTCCTATAACATTGTACTGGAAGTCCTAGCTAATGCAATAAGGCAAGAAAAGGAAATAAAAGGTATACAGATTGGGAAAGAAAACATAAAACTGTCTTTGTTCACAGATAACATGATCATCTATGTAGAAAATCCGAAAGAACTGACAAGAAAAACATCCTGGAACTCATAAGCGATTACTGCAAAGTTGCAGGATACAAAGTTAATGTACAAAAGTCATTGCTTTCCTATATACCAACAAGGAACAAGTGGAATTTTAAATTAAAAACACAATACCATTTATATTGGCACCCCCCAAAAGTGAAATACTTAGGTATAAATCTAACAAAATATATTTGAGGAAAACTACAAAACTGTGATGAACTAAATCAAAGAACTAAATAAATGGAGAGATGTACCATGTTCATGGATAGGAAGACTTAATATTATCAAGATGTCAGTTCTTTCCAACTTGATGTATAGATTCAAGGCAGTCCTAATCAAAACCCCAGCAAACTATTTTATGGTTATTGACAAACTGATTCTAAAGTTTATATGGGAAGGCAGAAGACCCAGAATAGCCAACACAACATTGAAGGACAAGAACAAAGTAGGAGGACTGACACTACCTGACCTCAAGACTTACTATAAAGCTAGGGTAATCAAGAAAGTGTGGTATTGGTGAAAGAACAAACAGAACAGTGGAACAGAATAGAGAGCCCAGAAATAAACTCACATAAATATAGTTAACTAGTCTTTGACAAAGGAGCAAAGGCAATAAAATGGAGCAAAGATAGACTTTTCAACAAATGGTGCTGGAACAGTGGAATAACCATGTGCAAAAAAATGAACCTCGATACAAACCTTACACCCTTCACAAAAATTAGCTCAAAATGGATCACAAACTTAAATGTAAAACGTAAAACCATAAAACTCCTAGAAGATAACACAGGAGAAAACCTAGATGAGCTTGGGTGTGGCAATGACTTTTTAGATACAATACCAAAGGCACAATCCATGAAATAAAGAATTGATAAACTGGACTTCGTTAAAATTAAAAAAAACTTCTGGGGCCAGCCTGGTGGCACAACGGTTAAGTTCACTCATTCTGCCTCTCAGTGGCCTGGGGTTCACTGATTCAGATCCCCGGTGCAGACATGGCACCACTTGGCAAAAGCCATGCTGTGGTAGGCGTCCCACGTATAAAGTAGAGGAAGATGGGTATGGATGTTAGCTCAGGGCCAGTCTTCCTCAGAAAAAGAGGAGGATTGGCAATAGTTAGCTCAGGGCTAATCTTCCACAAAAAAAAAAAAAAACTGCTGGTGAAAGACAATGTCAAGAGAATGAAACAACAAGCCACAGACTGGAAGAAAATATTTGCAAAGGACACCTCTGTTAAAGGGCTGTCATCCAAAATATATAAAGAACTCTTAAAGCTCAACAGTAAAAAAAAAAACCGATGAAAAAATGGGTCAAAGACCTTAACAGACATCTCATCAAAGAAGAAATACAGATAGCAAATAAGCACATGACAAGATGCTTCACATCATCTGTCATCAGGGAAATGCAAATTAAAACAACAATGAAATAATACCACATGCCTATTAGAATAACCAAAATCCAGAACACTGACATCACCAAATGCTAGTGAGGATGTGGAGCAAGGGGAACTCTCATACATTGCTGGTATAGCCTCTTTGGAAGACAGTTTGGCAATTCTGACAAAACTAAAAATATTCTTATCAGCAATTGCACTCCTTGGACCCAAAGGAGTTGAAAAGTTATGTCCACAAAAACCTGCGCATGCATATTTATAACAGTTATGTTCATAATTGCCAAAAGTTGGAAGCAACCAAGATGTCCTTCACTAGACGAGTGGTTAAACAAACTGTATTACATCCAGATATTCAGTGCTAAAAAGAAATGAGCTATTGAGCTGTGTTTCCACTGACCTCTCCCTTCCATTGATCCTTTAGGCCTAAAGGTGGTAACATCTGCCTACATTTGTTAGCCCCTAGTTGGTTCCTTTAACTCTGATAGTTTCTTGGTTAAATTGCCCTGATAGAACTTACCATATGTTTCCCCATAAAGACACTGATTGGAACTAGTAGAGATTCTAAATTCTTGCTATCAAAGATAACCTTTGGCTTCCTAATACAACAGTTGCCTGTTTTCCTGTCTGTCTTCATTCCTGGACTTGTTGGCTCCTTGGGGTTGGGGACTGTCAGAGTTGTCATTGTATTCCCAGAAGTTAGCAGGAGGGCCTGACCACAGCAAGTGCTCAGTAAATGTTGGTTGAATGAATTAATGTGTTTTCTCCTATTAGTGTCTATTTAACATTAAAACTAGAAACCATCTAAAAGAGGTAAAAGCAGTTAGTCCAAGGCAGTCATTCCCGAAAAATAGCCCTTTTCTGAGGCAGTTCATGTCAGAGACAGACACTTAGAGGAAGAAGAAATCCTTGCCACCTATTTCTCTTTATCAAGGGAAAATGGGCTAAGTAATTGTTGTTATTTGCCTATTGCCCACTCGGGCCGTCACAAAGCTCAGGCTGAGTGTTTACTTAGGCCTAAACTCCACCATTTCTCCAGGGAGCCCAATAAAAATGTGCTGTTGTCTTGACAAAAAGAAAGAGAGGAAAAATTAGCAAACAAAGGAACACTTCTTTATAAAATATATTCAAGAGTTAATGTCCTCATGAATAACTACACTTAGGTTGAATTTAGAGTATTTTATTGAATTGAAAGTGAAGCTGTTATACTTTCTGCATCTGTAAAATCTGACTTTTTTTTCCCTAAAGAATGGCACCTGAGTTAACATCTGTTACAAATCTCCATTTTTTTTCCTCCTTCTTCTTCTCCCCAAAGCCCCCCAGGACATAGTTGTATATTCTAGTTATAGGTCCTTCTGGCTGTGCTATGTGGGATGCCGCCTCAGCATGGCTTGATGAGTGTGCCATGTCTGTGCCCAGGATCTGAACTGCTGAAACCCTGGGCTGCCCAAGCAGAGCATGTGAACTTAACCACTGGGCCACAGGGCTGGCCCCTCTAACATCTGACTCTTGATGAATTCCAGAATCCTTCTAGTTCTAAAATTATGTTTATGCAGGCTTTTATGCATACCATAGTGGGCAAATTCTACTAGACTGCTAGATTTTTGCCAGCTATTTTTTTTGTCAAATATTATTTTCATGATGATATTACTAATAGTAGCACATTAAAAGCAGAGAAATATTTTCAGTTGGTTGAAACGTTTACTTCATCACGAGCTTGTTTCTCTGAGGCTCAGCTGAATGTCTTTTAGATCTTTTTTTCTGTGTGTGTCTAACTTTTTTCCTAGTTGTAAATACAAAATCTATACAAGAAGAGAAGTTTCACCTTAGCCTCCAATTCACTGGAGCTTTAACAAATTTGATGGCTCGTGAAGAATTTGTACGTCACCGTGAAAAGCTTTGAAGGACACTGACTGCTGAGTTGTGCAAGTGCTTCCCAGCAGCAGAAACAAAACTTTTAAATCTGAACGATTAGGCAAGAAATCGTCTTGGTTTGACAACCACAAACATTGAGGAACCCTGCGCCCCTCATGTTATCTGCATATCATCACCCTTTTAATCTATAGAACAAATTCATTGAAAAAACCATTACTATAGTCGTGAAAACTGTTAACGGCTCAGTTCACATTATGACCCAGCTGTGGGAAAATTTTTGTGGGACCCTTGAGGGTGGGGCTTTTAGAAGAATGAGTCATCAAAAAAGTCACCCAGGTAATTTAGCACAGGAGGTGGAATTTGAGACCACCAGCTCTCCTTGCGTTTTATTCTTCCTTATCTACCTTGTAATATCCAACATTGTTAACACACCCATTTTGTAGGTGCTGGGGACAGAGATATACCAAGAGCTATAATCAGCACCCAGAATTGGAGCCATTCAAGTTGTAAGTATTGTCAAAATTCTGCCCGCTGTGGGTTTGGTCCTGAGAGCTGTACCTCATGGTAAAGAGTCCTGACTAGACCCTAAGACAGCCCCGTCAGGGGGAAGAGGCCCTGGCCACAGGGGATCAGGCGACCTGTTTCTGGGAACAGAGCCATCTGTTTGTGTAGGACCCAGGTCACATTTTAAGGACACTTTGACCTTTAGCACTTCAGGTGGTGAGTGTATTAGTTTAACCACTGCACTTACTCATAATAGTCAGACAATTCAGGATTAGGCATATGAAAGAGCAACTATTAAGAGAGACAGCCCAGTCCCCCTTGAGAGTTCTTCAAGGATGAACCCAAAAGATTTGGGAAACAGAACTGTGCATGACCACTAGTTCAGGCATTTAAAGCTGGATTCATTTAGAAGCTAAGTATTTTGAAAGAGGTAAAGGCAATGGACCTTAAAATCAAATATAATCCCAAATGCACAGGTGCCTTCTTCCTGTAAATTTCCACCATCCCTCCTGACAAGCTGTAGGAGGAAGGGAGCTAGAGTGATTTTAATGGACAACCTCTGACAGTGGGCAGACTGCCTGCCAGGACTGACCCCTGCCAGCAGGATGAGGGGCAAGGTGAAGCTGAGAGACTGAGCATATCTAGGCACCCAGCAGTACATTTAAAGAGGGCTCTTAACCAGTCCTCTGGGCCTGGGGCCAAGCAGCAGGTCCTTCTGTGTTGTTTTAGTGCAGTGAGCACTGGATTTAACTGGGAGTTTTCCTTGGTGAACTATCTGTGTGCCACAGAGGTCAAAAGAACCCCAGCTTTCCCAGTCACCCCGCCCCCCCCAGGTCCCACCCTATAAACTCACACTCTTCTTTCTAGAATGCCACCTCGTGGTGAAGTGACATGTTGCTTTAAAAGACAGAAGATGGGTGGATGAATGGATAAAGAAGTTGTGGTATAGGTATGCAATGGAATATTATTCTGCCATAAAAATGAGGAAATCCTGCCATTTTCGACAACATGGTTTGACCTATAGGGCGTGATGCTAAGTGAAATGAGTCAGACAGAGAGAGACAAATACTGCATGATCTCACTGATATGTGGAATCTAAGAAAAACCCACAAACTCAGAGAAAAAGAGATCAGATTATCTGTGGTTACCAGAAGCTGGGGTGGAGGTGGGGGGAGTAAGGGAGAGTGGGTATCGGAGGAAGGTGGTCAAAAGGTACAAACTTCCAGTTATGAGATAAATAAGTACTAGGGACGTAGTGAACAACACGACGACTATAGTTAACATGCTCCATGATACACATGAAGGTTGTTGAGAGAGTAGATCCTGAGTTCTCATCAGAAAGAAAAAAAATTTTTTTCTTTTTATTGTATCCATATGAGATGAATCTTAACTAAACTTATCGTGGTAATCACTTCACAATATAAGTCAAACCATTATGCTTTATCTCTTAAACTTCTACAGTGTTGTATGTCAGTTATATCTTAATAAAGCTGGAAAAAAGTTTTTAAAAGGAGGAGGATTAAACCCAGCTAATACTTCAAACCTATGTGCCGTCCCAACTTCCTTTAGAAATGCATAAAGTTAAGACACATTTGTTCGAGATCTTAGCCCTTTGGAGATAATTTGTATTTGGAGGTGTTCAGGAGAAGATGGTAATGTGGGGTTTTTAAGATTCCTAGGAGTCCAACTCTGCTAGAAGACAAAGCTGCACAGTTCATAAAAATAATCAAGGAATTTTCCTCTATAAGTAACCAGCTTTTCCCCAAGTTAGTGTAGTATGTGTTCCTCATAATTACATACTTATCACTTCTTTTTGGTCTATCTAAACACGTTGGCAAGATTATACAATGACCTTGTATGCCTAGTAAGATAGTTATTTACCCATTCCTAACACAGAGTACTATGGCACGAAGGCCTTAACAACCAGGGAGACAGGCATTTAATTTTCTATCACAGCAGACCCCTAATCTAGCCAGTCTGTTGAGGGGATATCACGTCCAAATATTTAAGATCATTTCTGGCTGTTTAATTTAGAATTCTTGGCTTTACCAGCTGACCACCCTGCCAAGAAATGTACTAGTAAGCCTAGCAAGATGACTTGGCTCCATCCTATATGCTAGTGTAGACATGGAGCTCCATGGCATCCTCTAAAAGGCACTAGAGGCCTCTTCTGCCTTCGTTCATCTCTGCCAACCTTGAAATGGAATGTTTTTATTTCATCAAAGGAAAATTCAGTGCCTGGCCTGAGGATCTTGATTTTTTTACATCAATTTTCTTCTTGATTTTTGCGTGGCTCATGTCTGCTCCTCTCTTTAATTGAGTGATGTGAGCCTGTGGCCTCTCTGCGCCAGTTGCCTGGGGAATTTGGTTGAATGTCACTGATGCAAAGACATTTAATCGCAATTGTACACTTAATTGGATGTACAATTCTTGTTCTGCCCATGAGGCCTGAGTGAGCCTTTAGACATTTTTAACCTTGAATAAATTTCTTGTTTCATTCAAGTAGAAAGTCCAAAGGCTACTTTCGTTGTAAGGGAGTTTTTGTAGTTATTGTTTTGTTTTTAATGAAATCATTTTGACCATGCATGTTTAGTATAAAGTCAGTGCACTCTCATTATAGAAATGATAACGAACAAAAAGAACACTAAAGATAACTACCATCCCACATACCAAGGGCCATCACAGAGAATGAACATCTTCATATGCCAATAAAGAGACTGTGCTTTTCCTGCAACATTTTTTTGTGTGTGTGAGGAAGACTGGCTCTGAGCTAACATCTGTTGCCAATCTTCCTCTTTTTGCCTGAGGAAGATTGTCCCTGAGCTAATATCTGTGCCAGTCTTCCTCTATTTTGTATGTGGGACGCTGCCATAGCATGGCTGATGAGTGGTGTGTAGGTCCACGCCCAGGATCCGAACCCACGAACCCTGGGCCATGGAAGCGGAGCATGCAAACTTAACCACTACGCCACCGGGCCAGCCCCAACATCACTTTTTATGTGTAGAAGTCTATGAATGAATACAACTTTGCAGCGTTTTAAAAAAAAATAATCTTTTCTAATAATCTAGGTCTTGTAAATATTTAATCTGAATGTTGTAATTCGTGTAACGTAGCACTAATCTGGTTTTAGGAAAGTTAGGTCATCGGGGCAGCATTTAAGGGTCCCTAAAAGCAATTCCAGATGTCCTCCACAAAAGTACTGCACCCCAAGTTGGTGGAGGTGTGTGTGGAAAATACATGGTTTGTTCTTTGAAATTTCTTTGTTTCAACAGATAGTTTGTAAATACATTGATACTGCAGTTTATATAATTTTTTCTTTTTAGAAGCAAGTCTTCTCTTCAAAACAACTATATGAAATCAAGTAGCTATTTAAGAACTTTTAATGGTACTGGCCAGGCAACAAAAATTTCAGACCATGTCCATGGGCAACTCTAACACCTGGAGGCCCCCTTTGCTCCCCAAGTCTTGTTCTCGACACGGCCATTGTGCTCGGCATTTTTGCTGTTCCTGCTCTGGGTTTTTGCTGAGTGTTGTGGGAGTGCAGGGGGTCAGGGGCTGGCCTTTGAGGAGCTGGCTGCACGAAAGGAAGTCCCAATCGAAGCAAACCATTCCTTGGACCAAAAGATTCTGCCATAAAGCAGTCTGGCTAACGTGGTCTCAGGAAACGAGGGATTAATGTGTACTAATGGATGTGTATCTGGGAATCCAGCGTGCCTTCTCCGGGGTAAGCTAGGGTCCACTGTTCACCTCTCTTTTTTCCCTCAAATCCCCAAAGGCAGAACCTGTTTTCTTTGTTTTTCCTAAATCTGCTGCCACCTACAATTCCCTCGGGCACAGTGGAGTGGAATGTAACCATTCCAGTGTTCCCCCCAGCTTTCCTGCCACCCCACCCTCTCGCCTACTTGTCTCTCCTTCCATCTCCCTTCCCTTCCTTCCTTTCTTCCTTCCTACCTTCCTTCCCTCCTAGATTTTACTGAATTCACTGTAGGGAAAAAGACAGGGCTTTTGAAAAACAAGAGTGAAATTATAGACGTTCCAGAAATCTTCTGACTTCCTCGTGATAGTAATTTCTGAATGTGTATTTCTTCTCCTTCTGTCCTTAGGTTGTTTTGAAAGCATAGCAGTGGTTTAGCACAGAGCCTCTGGGACCAGACTCCTGGGTTAGGATCCTGATTCCACCATCTACTGGTTGCGTGACCTTAGGCAAGCAACTTAACCATTCTGTGCCTCACTTTTTTCATCTATAAAATGGGGATAAGAAGAGTACTTACCTCATAGGGCTGTGAGGACTAAATGAGTTAACACAGGTAACATACATAAACATGTAGTCAATGCTATGTAAGTATACCAGGCTTAATACTTCCAAAATTCTGGAAACCCCACAACCCTTTTGGTTTGGATATGACTTTTGCTCCTGAAGAAGCAGGTAGAACAAAAGACAGGAATTATTTAAGTGCCACAGTACTTATATCTCAGAGGTGCTCCAGAATATCTCCATAGTAACAGAAAATAAGAATAGGTTACACCTTGTCTTAACATTTATCATATTTTATCTAGGTCTTTCCTTGCAAAATAAGACAGCCTAAGAGCACAACACCAGTGGGGGTGGAGAAAGTGGAGACATGTTGTCCGACTCAATTCATACAACATAGGTAGCTGCTATCCCAGCCGGTTATGGGGATTTGGGAGAGGTGGTTGGCCAGGTCCAGGAACAGACACTACATTCCCCAAGTAAAAGGAGGGCGTATACTTTAAATACTCTTGGCATTTAACCTCTCGTGATGTTCTGAATAAGTATTCTTTTCATTCTTGTGCCAGTCATTCTATTTTGTGATATGCAGAATGAAGACCCAGAACTTCACAGGAGTGGGTCTTAGAACTAGTTTGTTATCTAACTAACGATTTGATCGGTAGAGCACTCTCAGAACTTTACTGAAATACAGCTCTATCGATGTGCCATTCAGGTTTCCTGACTTGGCAGAGCTAAGAGTATTTCTGCTTTCATTCAACCTGTGAAGTCCCTTTACTGATTAAAGTATCTTCATTGTAGACACTTGGAGCTATAGCTTTGATGATTCCCTGGGTATTCTCCACCCTAGGCCCTCAATAATTTTTTTACTGTGTTAGAGAGTTGATATTTCCTAAAAGTATTCTGGATTCAGTCAAACATGTTGACATGCTCTGATGGTTAATTTTATGTGTCACCTTGACTGGGCCATGGGATGCTCAACCATTTGGTCAAATATTATCCTGAGTGTGTCTAGTACCAGGAGTTGGTGTTTTTAGGTGAGATTAACGTTTGAATTGGTAGACTGACTAAGCAGATTGTTCCCCTTAATGTGGGTGGGCCTCATCCAATCAGTTGAAATCTGAATAGAACAAAAGTCTGACCCTCCCACAGGTCAAAGGTAACTCTTGCTGCCTCATGGCCTTGAGCTGGGACGTTGGTATTTTGCTGGCTGCAGACTTGAACTGAAACATCAGCTCTTCTTGGGTCTTGAGCCTGCTAGCTTTCAGACTGGAATTTAATACCATCGGCTCTCCTGGGTCTCCAGCTTGCAAAGTCACCCTGCAGATCTTGAGACTAGTCAGCCTCCATAACTGCATGAGCCGATTCCTTATAGTAAATCTCTTTCTATACATATACATACCTCCTATCGGTTCTGTTTCTCTGAAAAACCCTAACTACTACACATGCATTTTGAAAACTGACTCTTTGTTAGCTATGATAGGAAAAACCTGGCCCAGTAGGCCCGAAGCTGCTTGATCCAGCACTAGGGGGAAGAGATGGGCCTGAGAGGGCAAGCAGTGCTGGCATGGGCTGCCCTGGACTCTGGGCACACTGGTCAAAAGGCAGGGTCATGTCCCGCTAGTTCATCAGGGCCTGCCACAGTGCTTGCACAAGGGCATTATTTGTTGAATGAATGAAGCTTTCGGAAACCTTCCAATGAATACCTCCCCCATTTGAAAGCTTTCTAATTAAATATTTAAGTGTTAACTTGGAGCAAAACATCATCTGCACAGTTAGCCTTCTTGTTGAGAGCTAAATAGTCCTTGCCAAGAAGAGATAAGACAATGTCCATTATGTATTTTTTCTGAGTGCTGTGTAAAAGACTTTTGTTTTCATGAATGGAAGTAAAATTACATCCATCAAGGACCTGAACGGAATATTGCTTCTAACTACCGAGAGTGTGTTTGACTTGGACCGAGTTTTTAAATGAAGTTTTAAATTGAGTTTTTAAACAGTATTTAGGCTACAGTGACCATGAAGCTTCCTCACTATGCCTTCACTTACAGGGACCGTAATTTTATTTGGCTGCAAGTGGGAGGGTGGCGGAGCGCAGGGGAAGCAAATCAAGGAATGAAGCAGGGTAGTAATTTGACTTGATTTTGACTTTGGATCACTTTAGGTGGATGAGGGATGGCCTGTGAAGGGGTTGGTGAGGCAGAAAAGGAAACTGGGGGGCGGGAGGTCAGTTATGATTATGGCAATAGGCGAGGCAAGAGAAGATGAGGCACTAGGCTGGCCTTGGCCGTAGGGACTGAAGCGGGGTCCTGATCAATAGGATGTGGTCATGAAGGAGGGCAACACCAAACTTGAATTCCCAGTTTCTTACTGGAGTAAAAGGACGCTCTTCACCGAGATAGGTAATTTAGAGGGAGGGGCAGGTATTGGCCAGGAAATGATGTCTGCCTTTTTTTTTTTTTTTTTTTTTGAGGAAGATTAGCCCTGAGCTAACTGCTGCCAATCCTCCTCTTTTCGCTGAGGAAGACAGGCCCTGAGCTAACATCTGTGCCCTCTTCCTCTACTTTATGTGTGGGATGCCTACCACAGCATGGCGTGCCAAGTGGTGTCATGTCTGCACCTGGGATCTGAACCGGGGAACCCCGGTGGCGCAGCGGTTAAGTGCGCACATTCTGCTGCGCCACCGGGCTGGCCCTGTGTCTGCCATTTTTGATGTATTATGTTTGAAGCACCTGGGACTTGCTCAATAGAAAATTGCATATATGTATAGGAGGCATAAGAGGTGGTCAGGGCTAAGAAATAAAACCATGGTCACCAGCACAGAGGTGGTAACTGAAGCCAGAGAGATTGAGGATAATGTGAGACGGCGGGGAAGCGAAAAGGCAATGCTGAGGGCCACCAACATTTAATGAGATAGGCGAGGAAGAGGCGGCTACAAAGAAGAGGAGAAGGAAAAAATCAGAGTAGAAAACAACCAGGAGAGAATGGAGTCTCAGAAGCCGAGGGAGCGATGAATTTTAATGTTAAATGTAGCAAAAGGAAAATTTTTCCTGGCTCCTCACTTCCACCTGTGCACATGAGGCCCTCAACAGCCCCTGAGCCTCTCCAACCAAAAATGGTTCCCTGGGAGCCCTTGGGGCATCGCACCTGTGTTTCTCTCCCATGGAATTTTCAGGCTTCTCTGTAAGAGGCATTTCTCCCCTGAGCATGGTGGACTCTTCCAGCCACATAGCCGTGGTTCCACAGTACCTGGAGGTCAAGGGCACTGCTCCTCCCGACTCTGCTGTTCATGGCCCTTTTCTGCCACAGGCTACCCTGAGCAGTCAGGGTGCCACAGCTTCATGGAGATTTGTGACAGAGTGAGCTAGGATGGTTCCCTCTCCTTTGAGTCACTGTTTGTTAGAGGTGTGTTATTTGTTGGAGGAATCTCAAAGTTTTGGACATCCCCTGGGGGAAGATTCAAGAAACACCTACTACGGTGTGATTAAAATCCCTACTTCCTTCCTATGAGTATGTGTTGGTTCCATAAGAGTTTGTTATGCCTGGTTCCTAAGCTCAGAATCTGCTTTTAGGAGGCCCAAGCAAATGTGACTTCTGTGGGAAGACCTAATTTCCCCAACACACCCCTACCCATCTAGCAGTAGCCATGGCTTGAGTTCGGTCTCAGTCTCAGTAGCTCCTTGAATCCTGTGTGACCATTCTCTGTTGGGTCTGTCATGCCATTTTGTTAACCGATTTGACCCTCACCAGTGGACACTAGAGCCACCCATGGAGAAAGGTGAGCTCTTTTCTACATAAGGATATGGATTGGTATGGAAAAGGGGATGGCTACAGTAATTAGAAGGGCGTTCTTCACCTCTGTCACACACTTTCATTGGAGTCAGACTTCAGCAAGTCACAGGATCCAAGGGGAAATTTAGATTTCCAGACAGAAAGAGCAGACAACTCTTTCAAGAGGCTACGCTGTAAAGGAAAGGAGAAAGATAAGATGGCAGGTAGCTATGGACAACCATGAAGTTGAACTTTTGGGGTTTTTTGTTTGTTTTTTTTAAGGAGGGAGAAATTTGAATGAAAGACAAATATCAACAAAATTTATTTTTTGTCTTGAATTTATGTACCCTCTGTTTATGAGATCCAGTTGGTTCTCTTATGCTGTTATTTTTTGAGTCCACACCAAACATTTGATGACTTTCTATACTTTGTATAGAAAAGCTACAGCCCTGATCACTTTGGCCTCATCAGTGTTTTCTCCTGTCCTGAGAGAGGGAAGGACCAAGGGGCCAGCAGGGTAAGGTGTTTGGATGAATGGTGGCATTGGGAGCAGAGTCCTCAGCTCCACAGACCCTCTGAGGAACAGGATCTTCAGCCCTGAGTCAAAACAAGAGAGCAGAGAGGGGCTGGCCCTGTGGCTGAGTGGTTAAGTTCGTGCGCTCTGCTGCAGGCGGCCCAGTGTTTCGTTGGTTCGAATCCTGGGCACGGACATGGCACTGCTCATCAAACCACGCTGAGGCAACGTCCCACATGCCACAACTAGAAGGACCCACAACGAAGAATATACAACTATGTACCGGGGGGGATTTGGGGAAAAAAAAAAGGAAAAAAATAAAATCTTTAAAAAAAAAAAAAACAAAAACAAGAGAGCAGTGGTTCATCTTAGCTGTTACCACGGAGATGGATGACCTACCAGAGGGCTTTTGTCATCTTAGCTCTTACCATGGAGACGGATGACACGTTGCCTAGCTGGGCTCATGAGCAGTCTTCACTGACTGATAAGACCAGCTTCTTTCTCACCTTCCCCCTTCCCGCCTTCTCCTCCATTCCCACCAGCTGCAGACTCCTGTCTCTAAGCTGGGAGCTGCTGTTTCTGTTTGACTTTCTCCTGTGGGGACAGCTTTGATTATTTTTTAAGCTTTTTTTTTTTCCATTGGGATACAATTCACATAACATAAATTTCACCATAGTAACCATTTTATTTTATTTTTATTTTATTTTATTTTTTTGAGGAAGATTAGCCCTGAGCTAACATCTGCTGTCAATCCTCCTCCTCTTTTTGCTGAGGAAGACTGGCCCTGAGCTAACATCCGTGCCCAACTTCCTCTACTTTATATGTCGGACGCCTACCACAGCATGGCTTGATGAGCGATGCCATGTCCGCACCTGGGATCCAAACCAGCGAACCCCGGGCCGCTGAAGCAGAACGTGTGCACTTAACTGCTGCGCCACTGGGCCGGCCCCCATATTAACCATTTTACAGTGTCCAATTCAGTGGCTTTTAGTATATTCACAAAATTGTGCTATTGTAATTAATTCCCTATGTAATTCCAGAACATTTTTGCTTTGATCTCTTCAGCCCAGAAGATGAATGGAAGGGGATGGACTTCATCAAAATAAACAAGACTTCCCAGTGTACCAGAGGCATTCGTGGTTTGGTAAACAAATCCTCTCATTTTTATTTTCTATTTATAAACTTTTTCCTCCTCAAGGGCCATGTGATTATGAAGAAAGGCTTTGCTATATTGAGAGTCTTTCATTTATTTGTTCATTAGCTCCATTTCACCCATTCAGCATATTTAGAATCTCTTCCAGGCCAGTTAGCCCTGATGATGAAGAGGTGAATAAGAGAACAAGGCGCCTGTCCTCTGGGGTTTGCAGCCTAGCGGGGACGACACTAATAATCAAGTTATACTATTGTGATTAGTGCTATGAAGGTAAATAATAGGAAGACAACCAAGTCTGGGAGTCAGGTGCAATTTCTCTGAGAAAAGGGCGTCCAGGGTGAGACCTAGGGGCTGTGTAGGATGAGCTATGGAAGGACAGTGCGTCCAGGAATGAGTGTAGCTGGGGTATGGACAGGGGTAGAGGAAGCAGCACATGCTGAAGCCTTGGGCAGGAAAAAGAATGGGAGCCATGAGGACCTAGAAGTCCAGTGTGGCTGAAGCATCAGGAGCTGCAGGAGAGTGGCGCAAGATGATGCTAAGTGGGGGGTTGGAGGCAAGTCACACAGGGCCTTGTAGGCATATCGAGGATTTGGGACTTTATCTTCAAAATGGGAACCCACTGAAGGGGTTAATGTGGGGATGACAGGATCCACCAACTATATGGAGACCAGCTGGGAAGCCATTATAGGGTGAGAAAGGGTGGCTGCTCAGGTTAGGATGGTGGTCATGAGGATGGAGAGGAGGGAAGAGATTTAAGTGATATTTGGGAGGTGGACTAGACAGGGAAGGGGAGAGGAAAGTCTGAAGGATGGTACCAGCAACAAGGTGGATGGTAAGATAAGGAACTCGGGTGAGAACAAGTTTGCAAGGAAGGAGCATGGGTTCAGTTTAGGACAGGTTGAGTTTGAGATGCCTGTGAAGCATCCATGTGGAGACATCAAGTTGATAGTTCGGGATGTTTGGCAGAAGCCTGGGCCAGAGATACAAAGTTAGGATGGGTGGAAAGTAACCGTGAAATCTCCCTTCACATACAGATATTACAGCATCTGAAGCATTTTATCAGGTTGTTTATTTATCCATCTTTCTTCCTACTTCAGTGATTCTCAATTTTTTAGTGAGGAAGATTGGCCCTGAGCTAACATCTGTTGCCAATCCTGCTCTTTTTGCTTGAGGAAGATTGGCCCTGAGCTAACATATATGCCAGTCTTCCTCCATTTTGTATGTGGGAAGCCGCCACAGGATGGCTTGATGAGCTGTGTATAGGTCTGCATCTGGGATCTGAACCTGAGAACTCTGGGCCACCAAAGTGGAGCTCGCTCACTTAACCACTACACCACCAGGCCAGCCCCAAGTGATTCTCACTGTTTTTGTCCTGCCCATTCCTGGACCTGTGTAGCACTCTCTCTAGAAATGTCTCTCATCGTGTACAGTGATTCTCCCTGGGCTATAGGCTCCGTGAAGATAGGAAGATGTTGCTTATTTTTGCATCCCCAGCATCCAGGACATAGTTTAGAAACTCACTAGGTTTTTGATTGATGACTGACCAACAGAAAACATGAATCAATGACTGTGTTGGAATCTACTTAAAAGCACCGATTATAGATAGCAGTTGACATCAATCTTTTATTTTTAAACACCCATTATTATAGTTAAAAATAATCTTTATTTATTTATAAGAAAAATATAAAATCATACAGGGGATCAAAATGAAGGCAGCTTAAAAAGTACAGCACAAATATATATATAAACATGTAGTACCACAAAAACTCGTAGTTTAAAAGCATTGCCTTCATCAGCTGAAGAAATGTCCTCCATGAAGCTTCTGAGGGCCTGCCTCAAAGGAGAATGGTCACTGGCTGTCACATAAAATGGAAGAGCATGGCTCAGCTCAGGAAGTCATGAGAAGCTACCCTTTACATTTCCAAAAGGGTTGACAAAACTCAATCATTTCATTTCGAGTTGCACTGTCAGCTCCTTTGATCTCTTCAGTTCAACTGCGGAGCTGATTTCTAGGAGGCATCCTCAGCTGAACACAGCCACAGGAAGAAAGAGAACAGGCTCTCCTCTGCTGAGGACCACAGGTGCGGCACCCACTCCCCCAGAGGCTCCAGCAGGCCCAGCACATGGCTGAGCATCAGGGCCATGATCCTCTCTAAACACAAGAGAAGCAAGTCTTGCCCCATCCATTTATGACCAAGTGCACAGGGTTCAGAAGATGGAATCTGAATTCCCAAGTAGGAAATCACAGAACAAACGGGGGGAATGTTTCCCGTCACTTCCTTGGGCATATGTAGTTATGTATGTTTCAGTTACAAGGGCAGAAAACAGTGTTAATGTTATCAGGCCCAATGTGTCATTAAATGTGAAAGACAATCCAACAAATTGCTTCCGCATGTGTAAGTCAAAAAAGGAAGCAGATGTTAGCCTGCAGCTGGGACAGAAAAGGCCATGGGCATATAGAGGAAATCTGATTCGAGAAATGAGGGGATGGTTCTAAAGTTAGCAACACAAAGAACAGAAACATGCACTCAAAGGAGAGAAGAACTACACAACAGGGAGGGCAGACGTGGAAAAAATGTTCTAAGGAGGATAGTCCTGGCTCAAAACTAGACAAAACAGATTTATTCATCTAAAAAAGAAAGGGAAAGAAAATATGCCAGACCTTACTTATTAATATTGTATTGAAAGGAAGACGTGTTTATATTACATATTATAGAGGAAAAGGACAGGCTAGTGCTCCTGGTCGATGTCTGCACAAGTAAGGGAGCTCAACTCCTCTGCCTTGTTACATGAAAGCCACTGTTCCTCACAATGGTAAAGAGAGAGCATTGCTACGCTGAGAGAGAGAGAGACCAAATGCCCACAGACGGCTCATCCTAACTCGACATGGAGGAAAAGTCCTACTGAGTGCTAAAAGTAATTCCCAGAGTATGGAATTCTGAATGACGGGCTGAGGTAATGATGGGCACCTTCAGGAGGCTGGCACCCCCATCTCAATTATACCAACCTCAATCTGCTTATACCTGTCAGTTTGTAAAAGAACTCTCCTCTTCCTGTCTTAGCCAGGCTGCTCATAAGAGTTCCAACAAACAACCAATAATTAATAGAAGGTTGGTCCTAGGTTGGTCTTAACCAAGCCATGAAGGATGTGTGTGTAGATTTTATACTCCAGCAGAGGGCAGTACCACATAAAAATTACTATTAAGGAAAAACTGAGGTGCAGCCTCTTTTGTCAATTACCCTGAATTTTCTGTATTATTGAATAATTATTATTTACTGTCACAAAAACGGGTAACTTGTTCATACGGTTATCTTGAGTATCAATGGACAATCCTGGCAATCAATTTAAGCCCTAACAATTTTAAATCTTACAATTTTACATAATACTTGCTTTACGTGAGTCTCTCTCCTCTCACATGAGTCTTCCTTTGTGTGTGTATGTGGATGTGTGTGTCCTGGGTGTGTGTGGTGGCTAACACAGCTTTACTTTCCATTCTCTTGAGTCTAGTAATTTTTTCTTGCGGCCAAATAAAATGCATCTTAGTATAAAGCCTCTTCACATAACAATGCAGGTGAGAATTTTGTTGAAGAGAGTTTGTGTTGGAACTTAGCTAAAGAGATTTCCTCTTTCTATAAGCAAAAGGCCCTCATCACAAGCAGTTTAGCTCATAGTGTGGTCAATTTAAAGTGGATCCCTACAGACAGCATAATGAGCAAAGCTCTTATGTATTAATGAACTTAAATCTTAACAATTATTTGATCAATTAGTCATAAAGTAATTTCCTTCCTCTTCACGCTCCCCTTTGTAAAGTATCAGCATATTTATGCTATTATGGTATTTATTTGCTATAGATTAAAGAAAATTACTTTGGATTATTGTACAATTAAGACATAGTTCTATTTCAGCTGAGAATTACTCTTTGATATGTCTGGATGTAACACAGATAAAAGCCATCCCACATTTAGTCATTAGAATCTGAATGAACTTTAAAAAAATCTTTTGCTTAAATTTCTCTCTGCTAATATTAAACTCCTAATAATTAAAACTTTTCCTAAGGGAAATGCCAAGAGATACAGATGGCCATATGGGCACATAATGGTAGAGTCAAATTAAAGCAGCACATTGACATCAGCTCTCCATTTTAAAAAATCCCTTCCCCTCTGGCGCTTCCCTCATGCAATTACGATAGGAATTTTAAGCTTTCAGAGCCAGAAAATTATTAGCAATCAGGACTTTGGAAATAATGATGCCAAACGGAGAGAGGAGGGGGTGGTGTTCTGTGGTCACAAGGTTTTCCTGTAATTCCTGAATTTAAAGATAAAGGAGCACTTGGCTCTGCCCGCCTCTGAGCTGCCTGAATTCTGTGTCTTAACCTTTCTGATCCAACTCAAACGTAAGTTCAGCTGACACTTATGAACAACAGCCATGTTCAAGATATGTATGATGAGAAGTTCAGTGTAAAGTCAGTTTCGAGATTGGAATTTTGAGTGCGGAATTTTGGAGCCACGTCCCATGGAAGCAGCGCCGACAGGGACCCATGTTCCCAAGCCAGCCCACAAAAAGCTTTTAATTCAGAAATGTGTGAAATATAGAACTGACGGTTCTATAGAAACTAATCACTATTTATATCAGCATTTTCATGGGAAAATTTTCATCCCATTTTCTAGATTTTAAATCTGGGATATTAGGAACCTGTTTTGATTTTTCATTTGTAGCCGTGGCCTTATTGGAGGGAGTTAGAAGCCTGCCTCCCTCAGCTGCTGTTCCAAGGCACCGAGATGGCCCTCGGCCTGCTGTGGCCTCCAGTCAGCAGGGCCTCAGGGAGCTGGGAACTAGGGAGAAGACCAGGGCAGCGCGTGGGGGCAGCAGGGGAAGGAGGGCAGGGTGTTATTCCCATCCCCTCCCCCCTCAGGCTGCCCTTTCTTTTTGCTGCTGCTCTGCCCCCTGTCAATCACAGGTGGGGGGAGGCTCCGGAAATAAGGGAAGCCTT